CCACCCGCCCCTTTTCAGTCCTTCCACCATTCTAAAGGAGCAGTTCCCATTACCTCTTCCGAACCCCTGCCTTGGGCAGGACCTTTTCCAGTTTCCGGAGACTCCCCCCCGCAGCATCAACCCACTCCCTTCTCACCAGCGGCAGGCTCCTCATGTGCGCTTCCAAGACCGACTTGTTATGCTCCGGCCGGATGAGGTTGTCAAACATCAGTCTTGTCTGCCGCGCGAGCATGGAGATGGAGATGATGACGATGCCCCGGATGAAGGTCATGTACTCTGGCATTCCGTCGTCCAAAAGGGTGGACTGGTAGGTTAGCGTGAAGCAGGTGGCCATGAGGGCGTTGCCTTCCGATGCCAAATTCGGGGAGGAGGAGGAAGACGGTAGGGAGGAGAGAGCCTTCTTGATGGATTTGATGGCTTTGAGACGGTGGGTCATCGCCGGCGTCAGGGTGAGGGAGGGGTCGGACTGGAGGAGGTGGGAGGCCGAATACCCCAGTATGGCGTGCATGAGGTAGGGGTGGGATTGGGATAGGTGAGGGACTGTGTGCAGCCATAAAGGCTCTGAACCGATGGGGTGGTGGGGGTAGCAGGTGGAGAGGAAGTGGTGGTAGAGGCGGAGGTCGAGGAGGGAGAATAGAGGGAGGGTGTTGGTTGGCTGGTGGGTTATGGTTGGCAGGGAGGGGTACTCGCAGGTGAGGCCGGTTTTGAGGCAGTGGCCGCAGGAGGGGCGGGTTTCTTGACACTGGTGGGTGGCGTGTATCAGTGAGTGATTGTTTAGGTGGTTGGATGGTGGTTACCTACCTTTATGCGTCGACGTTTGCAGTTGAAACAACCCCTTCGGCTTTTTGTGTGGCCCCTTCTTTCTAACCGCTGTTTTCCCGCCGCGGTTAGGCTGCCGCTGTTGCTCCCGCTTCCTCCCCCTCCGCTACCGCCGCCGCCGTGGCCGGAAGAAGGGGCGGGGCTGCCGCCGCCGCTGCTACCGTCGTTATAACCTGTTCCTGACACGGCAGAGGGGTCAAAGCTGGGGAGTTGGAGTTGGTTTTGGGGGTAGGGTTGTCCATAGCTCCCTGGACTGTGGGCGTTGTGAAGAGCGAGAGCGGTGTTGGTGCTTGTCAGGGCTGGGACCGTCAACAGGGACGGGGGAGGGACGGGGTTGAGGTTCTGGAGGGTGGCATCTGATGCTGAGGAAACAAAATTGCCAGAGGTGGATGCAGATGCTGAGCTCTCCTCAGCAAGGTAGTCGATATCCTCGTGAGAATGATGGGGCTGTTGGGTGTAAAAGGCCGAGTAGTCAAACTCGGGGGTCTCGGTTGTGGTGTTTAGAGCCAAGAGGGGGTAGTTAGCATGGAGGTTGGGGTCCATTTCGTTGTTGTCGTTGTTGTTGTTGTTGTTGCCGTAGTTCATCGTCTGCTTTGTGTACTAATCGATAGTAATCGCTAGACCAGAATTGTCAGAAATTACTCCGGGAGAGGCATCCAAGTGGAGATAGTAGAGGTGTACTTAACCTGACCTACAAACAAGCTGATTCCTTGTAAAGGACCCTCACCTCCCGAAATGGAATCAAGGGGTATCACGTGTGTCGTCAAAGGGTTGGATTATGCCTTAGGCATACTACTCCCATCACATCAAAAAGTCCGACGCAAGATAAAATCTGCCAGCTAGCTATATAACCCGCCAAGAGTGGCAGTGTGATCATAGTCTTCCCCCTTGCGATAGAAGCCGCCCTATTGGATACCTTGCGAGGTCTTTTAACTCAATTAACGATGGTAGGATAAGAGAAGTGCACGAGGCTGTGGGTGTGATGTCGCTTGTCGATCCCCGAAAGTAGGTCAGTAATTCTCAAACGGGAAGGAGGTTAGGACTGTTGTTCTGCTGCAGAGTTTAGTTGCCAGCACTCACCGAGAGAGTCATTCAGAATGTAGTCGAGTCTGAGTATCTAGAATCAGGGAATGAAAACGCGTCAGTGTCAACTACGAATATGATTTTGTAATTTGGCTCCTCTATTTCCCAACGCTAGTCCTCTTTGGTGATTGATGTTGGTAAGAGACAGTTGCACCGTCAGTTCAATATCCGTCACCGCTTCCTCCCGCGTTCCCTAGTCTCCGTAACGGCAATCAGTAGAAGCAACGCCACAATTATACAATCCAAAGGGCGCGACAGCGTGGACAGGGTTAGAAGTTGAGGCTCTACAACCCCCCCCCCCCCCCCCCCAAAAAAAAAAAACAAAAAAATCTTCAAAAAAAAAATCTCAAAATGGCAATCGGAGAAAACTCCCAGCCAGTTAGATCCCCCCAAGGCTGCAACCCCGGCCGGCCGGCCCGCGCGGGGTCGAGGTCGATCGGGTCATATGTCCCTCCGACGAGTCGATGTCGGCCCTTTTGCCTTCGCGAGATGCAGGCAGCGACGACACCGACGGAGTGGTTTGCCAATATTTTCACGGTTTTGGATCGATGATTGCCCTCTCAGCCCTGCTGGGCGAATTCTACGCCCACGACCTGCATGTGTCAGGAACGTTGCTTCGGGAGCGTATTTGGACCTGTTAGGGACCCGGGAAGGTAAGGATTGACATTGACACTGACGTTGTGTCGGCAGCTGGTTTGGTGGTTTGGGGAGAAGTCCTACGGGTAGGACATGTCGTGATGCAACTTACGAATCGATTCGTCATGCTGAGGTCAATTAGTATCTAGAAACCTGACCGTGTGTAAGTCACTGGCCGAATGGCAAAGTCATCAACAAACCTGCTGGGAAGGTGATGTATACTAACTGACATAGATGGGCGGTCTGTAGTCCTCGTGGTCGATTTCCTTCTTCCCTTTGCCAGATCTGTGTTCTTCCCAAACAACGTCCATGTACACCGCTTGGTGTATCATAGGCAGATCACTCTATCGTTGATCACCGTGCCGACTTCCGGGACAATATCAAACTCGACTGACAATAGGAGACCGACAAAGTCCGGGACCGAAGGAAATGCGAGATGGCAAAACCGCCGAGGAAAGAAATTGAGATGAATGCAGTGTCGATGAGGTGAAGGGTTGTTTCCATTGGGATGAAGACAAATGTCTGTCTGTCCTCTATACCGACATGCTGTTGCATACTTCGGTGAGAGTCAGCAGGACTTGCAAAACCGATGACCGATCGGTTCTCCCTGTCCTCGGCAAAATGCTGCACACTCAGCAATGAGGGTCTTCGGATATCGTTGATGTTGTAGGAGCAGTCGTCGTGGCCGTGTCTCAGTTCCCATCCAATATGCTGCCCTACTAGACGGCCAAGGCTTTCCAAGCCTTTTTGTACCAAGTGGCCGTTATCGTAGCCTGGTGTTTCAGTTTGCAGAAACAGACTGGCGACAAAGTTGATTCAAAACCTGCGGCCATCCGTCTTTACCACTTGGCATGCTCGGACTGAAAGATATGGGACCCCGTGGCTCGTCATCCTCCCTGGAGGAGTTTGTGAGGTTGCAAGTTAGTATGTTGTAGATCGTTACCTTGAATAGCAGGTCGGGGAGGCTGGCGAGGCTTGTGATTTTGGAGAGGCGTCGGAGAGGGCTTGTCGGCGGTGAAGGCTGAGATATCACTTTTTCTCACGTTGACCTGACCTGTCTATGCGTGGCTATGAGCCATGCCCTTTGATATATCGTTTGGAAATGCCGTCAGCTGTAAGCGTCAAGCCGTGGATGATGAAGATCCAAATCTAAAACAGACCAAAAGTCCACGCAGGCATCGGCGGCAATCCGTCGCCGTGTAACGGTTTCTCCAATTATGAGTGCTGTTGCTCCAAAATAAGAGTAGATGGTTACACCCGCTGCCGACTACCTGCTTCGCCATGCAGTGAGAAGACCAACATACCTTTTATACCTGGATGGAAAGAATACCCGCGGGCGTTTGTTTGTCAGCACTTACTGCCTCCTGCTCACGAGAAAAGAACAGGACTCCGGGTAAAGTTGACCGTGCCTCCAGAACACTGCAGCTCGAGAACTACCACCTCAACATTCCAGCCAATAGTTCAGCTCTTTCAGCTTCGCATCTGGATGGCTGACGGGAGTGATAAGACAACGAAAATAACCAAGACAATTTCTCGGTTCTCCCGGTTCTTCGGAACCTTTGAGCGCCCAAAAGACGGCTCGGGAGGGAAGGGAAGGGAAAGGAAAGAAAAAGAAGATTAAATCAACCTCAGACATAGAACCTCAGTCAGTGAGGAGGTCACACAGCTCCCGGAACTTCACATCCTCTACCCGTCATTTGTGGTCAAGGTGAGATTTGATTATCAGAAGACTATCACCAATGAGAAGAAATGCTCGCCAATGGACAGATAGGTCAAAGGCACGGTGCTACTGTCGTGCTTCCTGGACGTGGGACCTTGCGTTTTGCAGCAAGCTATTGAGAATCAAGGTTCGGGGAGCACAGTTGACCCATCCAGCTCGGGTGTCCATCCAGTGCCAGTGCCAGTGATCAGTCTCGCCGTCGACTACTCGGTCGCAACTCGCAAGGTCGGTAGTTGGCCGACGAGGGGCGATCATATCCTAAAGTCAGCATGAACTGCCGTGACCTGGGTAGAGGTGGGAGGCTCCACGTGTCCCCGCAGTAAAAAAACGCTGCGGATGGCTGAAACGAATCCAGCCGACCCTCCATGTAGAGGAGGAGGGGGTGTGTGTGTGTGTGGACGGCGCGACAAGGTCTTGCGAAAAATCCCCCTGGAACCCGCAGTTCGGCGTTAAAGGAAAAGAACAGGCGAAGGATTGACAAACAGAAACCTGTTATCGTTTACGTTGGTGATGCTTGGCTTACCACAACATTACCACTCGTATGTGAAGTCTTGTCAATCTTCTCAGCTTCCAGAACAGATCTGCGGTCCAGGTTCGTCGCCTTGCCCAGGCTGCGCTAGCCTAGCGTGGAAAAACAAGCCTTTTTCCCCCTCGTCCGCAGACAGGGGAACACGTGCTATCGTGGCTCCGGAGCGCTGGATGCAATTTCGCTTGCGATCCGGAACAGCGATCGATTGAGATGTCAAAAACGGCCAAAAAGATTTAATTCAGCTTCAAGATGTTTTCCACGAACAAGACGACAGAAAGCGACGACCTCTGGGAGTTGGGCGCTTGTGTGTTTGCGCGCGCCACGCCGGCGTCAAAGGGGTCGAGGAGGGTCATCCCCACCTTGCTCCGCAAAGGCGTGTTTCGAACTGGATCGGACGACAGCTGAGAGATATGGAGAAGACTCGTCATAGGATCCGGTGTTGCCAAGGACCGTGATAACACTGTATGGCTTGCTGCTTGCGTGCTTGAGTGCTTGCGTAATGCTGCGCTGGCAGAAGAAGAAGACAAGTCATTCTCATCAGAATTTTCAGGCCGCAATCCTCGAAAAAAGAGTGCCCTGTTCCTGCAGCAGCGAGCCATTTCCCCCTGGATAAAGAGTGCGAGAGTTTGCGTACCTGCATCCCCGCACTGCTTTCGATTGGGTGCGGTGCTGCTTTTTGCGGGTCCGGCTTTTCTGGTAAACCCACCGTGTTGGTCAGCCCAGCCGAGGGGGGGGCCGACGAGACTCCGACAGGCAACATGAAGACAATTGCCCCACTCGAGACCTCTTGCGACGAACAGCAGCAGCAGCACCTCCTCCATCACCCGCCCGACGATTCCAGCGATTCGTTTGGTTATTCTGCCCGCATCGGCCGAACCGGGACGACTCTCGGCCTAGACTCTTGGAAGATGTCGACTGATGGAGAAGGACATGAGGATGATGGAGAATTGACGGACGGACACTGACGTGAGCTGAATGGAGACGAGTGTTTCCTATCCGGCAGATGGCCCTTGCGTTGGGTGACTGTCCGAGCTCTCCATCCCTAGGAATGAGAAAACTCAAGGGGGGCTGGTGCCATCGACAGCTCGCCTCAACTGGGCCTCCGGAAGTGGTTGGGTTGCTGTGGCCGCATTTGATGGCTTCTCCAGGGCAGACTGTGGCGTCTTTTGAGATGCAGACTGTGCTGTGAGAGCCTATAGAGCCGCGGCGTGTCCACGAAAATGAATGCCACCAAGGAAAAAGTTGGCGCTGACGTTGTTTGTGATGTTTGTGATGATAGCTGTCAGTCTGTGATGGGCGGCGGACATGAAGAAGGCTGGCAACTTGTTCTCTAGGTGAGTATAATAAGTGAACTGGAGACTCCGACTTTGCCTCGTGGGATGAGAGCCCACATGCTTCCCTCACCTTCAACCTGAAATCAATAGGAGCAATCAAAGTTCCCGACTTTGTGGCCCAGTCTGCCGTCTCATTAGTCTGAGTGGGGCACACAACAAACACCCACACCTCGCCAGAGCAACCACACCCCCCCTTCAGCTTGCCGAGCTCGCACAAATATTCTCTCAATTCACACCCTCCTCTTCTCACCTGGCTCCTGTTCCTGGATCTGTGCCCTGTGCCTGGATTACCCCTGCCTTCTAGGTTCCCGCCCTCCACTGCCAAAAACGAACACTCTTTTAAAACACCACAACCCCCCACCGCTCGCACTCTCTTTCCCTCTCGTCTCTCAACCTACCGGTCACGGGCCTTTCCATTCCTTTCCACTGCATTTGGGTCGCTAGTTTCGACTGTCGTACATTTGATCTTTTTTCTCGATCACGACACCGTCACCTCGCATCACTCCTTCTGCGTCTTTGACAGACAGCGACATTCATTCCTTTCACGAACAGGCCCATCCTTCGACCACCCAGCCGATCACCTACAGTTTTATACCCATCCATCACCACCTCTAGCATTGGCTTATTTTCACCCTCAGCAAAGCAAAATGCATTTCACCACTGTTCTCGCGCTGGCCGCCGCTGGCCTCGCTGGCCAGGCTGCTGCCGGCCCTCACCTCAACCACCAGCATGGCGTTAGACATGTTCACGAGAAGCGTGCCCTTGTGACTGAGCTCGTCACCGTCACCAACTGGGTCACCGTCACCGTCACTGGTCACTCGCCTACCGGTCGTCGCCAGCACTACACCAACACTCGCAAAGCCAAGAAGGTCAAGCCTACTCCTTCCAGCCAGGCCGCTCCTGCCCCGCCTCCTCCTCCTCCCGCGTCTGTTGCACCTGCCCCGGAGCCGACCACAGTCATCACTCGTGTTCGCCCTGCTGACCCTGAGCCCACTCCCGCTCCGGCCGAGCCCCCCAAGAGCGAGCCCGCGCCTCCTCCCCCGGCTCCTGTTGTTGTCTCCAGCCAGGCCCCCGCGGTGGTCGTAAAGCCAGAGCCAGTTCCCAATCCCGCTCCTGCTCCTGCCCCGGCCCCGGCCCCGGCTCCAGCTCCAGCTCCCGCGCCCAAGGGACAGAGACTTGGAGCAGGCTTGGCCTACAATAACCCTAACTTGTTAAAAACCTTGCTCGGATCTGGCACCAAGATTGGCTGGACCTACAACTGGGGTCAGCGCGATGACTCTGGCACTGGCCTTCCCTTCATCCCCACACTCTGGGGTCTCAAGCTGGATTTTGCTCAGGTCTGGCCTGCCAATGCCCAGAGAGCCATCGACGCTGGCTCGCCGTGCCTTTTCAGCTTCAACGAGCCCGATCACGGAACCCAGGCTAACCTCTCCCCCGAGGTTGCCGCTGCCAAGCACAAGGAGCTCATGAACCCGTTCCAGGGCAAGGCGCGCATTGGTTCACCTTCCATCACCAACGGCGGTGGCCCCGACATGGGCATCGAGTGGATGAAGAGGTTCTTCGCTGCCTGCAACGGCGGGTGCGCCGTCGACTTTGTCAACATTCACATTTACGGTTTCAGCACTGAGCAATTCTTGGACCACCTCGTCAAAGTGAACGAGCTGTTCAAGAAGCCCGTGTGGATCACCGAGTTTGGATTTAATGGATCCGACGACGAGATCGCCCAGCAGCTCAAGACCGTCATTGACGCCATTGACAACGACCCCAAGTATGCCTTTGTCGAGGCCTACTCTTACTTTATGGTTGAGGAGGGCATCCTGGTCAAGGGCAACCAGCCCAGTCGCTATGGTAGGACTTTTGCCTATGGCGGGGCCAACTAAAGGATTTCAAAATCGAAAATTTCTCGGGATATGAGAAGAAAAGGAAGAGTTAACGACATCTTGTTTTTTTTCGATTCATGGACAAAGTTTAGGGTTGTTTTCGGGGGGGGGGATCTTTTTCTTTTTCTTTTTTCTCGAGCCAGGATTCTTCGCTTCTGTTATATGTGTCTTGTTTTTCTTCTCCAACCTTGCAGGATATTTTCCAGGCTAGTTGGTCCCAAGGGCAATTATTCTTTCGGGTTTGAGGGGGGCAAGCAGCATGGACACACGTTGCCATGTTTGGCTTTTTTTTCTTTTTTTCCGGGAGGAAATCTTTCGATTTGTACATATTCGATTCTTTTTTTCTTCTTCTTGTTTTTATGCTTTTTTCTCTTTCAAAGGGAATGCAGTTATGAAAAGATTATGTGTATGGAAATGGTATGGGGTCAACAACAAGACAAATGGGATACACTGGGATACAGGTTATGGGATCTTGACGGAAGAGGCATTTCTGGGAAGCGTAAAAAGCTGGAAATGGGGACGGACGGACGGACATGAGACAAGATGGTAGATAGATTCATGACGATCGCTTATGGCCCTTTTGCTCTGAGAATATGTGGGAATACAAACGCGCCGATTCATATCATTACATGTGCGCTTGTGAATGTGTGAGCTGTGATATGAAAGTGTCTTGGAATATGACAAAGACGTGATGTTCAAAACAAAGTAAAGGGGGGGAAGTTTGGTTGTGGTGGGTGGGTAGGTATTGTGGAAATTTGGGGGAGCATACCTACCTACCTGGATACCTATGTAGTACTGGTGGAAGTGATGGGTGGCTGCGTGAAGTGGTTTTCTTCCGTCGGGACGGACGGGTGCGGATGTTAACATAAACTTGGGGTTGAGTCGGTTGCCGGGGGATTTGTTCATCTTGAAGAAGGGCAGAGACGTGGAACTGGGGTCATCTTATTGCGGGAAGGGGAAGGTGGGGGGGCGCTTGAGCCGGGGATGGGGGGCCATGGCTCGTTTGCTTCGCTGTTGGTAGAGAAGATAAGACGGGGTCCCGGGAGATTTGTGGGAAGAGAAGTTTTTAGAGTAAGTAGGGGGGGGGAGGAAACCAGAATTGACGGTCACTCATGAGTGTGGGATTGGGACATGCAACAGCTGTTGGGCTGTGGGGGCAAAGTACCTAACCTAGAGGTACCTACCTCTCGAGCTGGGTTTCCCCGCGGGCTCGCTTCGACGGAGGTGAGTAGTCCTGGAAAGTAGTGACAGCCAGCCGTTGGGGGCTAGAAGAAAGGGTAACAGAGTTGACAGCTCATGATGGCGGCTAGGGGTTGGGTATCTGTGATTGCTGGACGATTGGGGAACTAAACTTTTCCACGGGGTTGAGAGGGGAAGAGGAAGCCGTTGACTGCCTAGTTGCAAAAGTTTCTGGGTTGGCTGATTCATCTGGACCGTTAGACTATGGGGGCAAAGCTTCCAGAGTTGGCTACTCATGATGGCGGCGGCTCGGGGGAACAATATATCTGTGATTGTTAGACTACGGGCAAAAGTCCCCGTCACCAAACCATGCTTCCTGCTTTTAACGGCGCCGGTTCTTCGTGAAAATTTGAAAGGAAAATTCCATAGCTTCGGAGCTGGCTAATTCATGTAGAGAGGACTGCTGCACCCCTTAGACTGCGGGAAAATTATTGGCTGGCTGGCTGGCCGGCCTTGAGAAGAGAGACGCTACCAAAGGGCGGGCGGACACAGAATTGACTAGGTATGTCAGTCAAAAGAGAAACTAGGAATGACCGGCTCAAGATCAATGACTTCATTCAGGGGGTCTTTTCCCAATCTGGGCTGACATTTTCATGTTGGAAATTCGGAAGAACATGACAAGATGCTCTGTTAACTCGACTTGCAGGGCGACCGAGGTGACTTTTCCACTACTCAAACCATGGACTGCTAAACTGTTGACCCAGCCTCGAGGCTTGGATTAGACAAAATACGTAATTCGTTGTAGGCTCACGGTGTGAGAGGAAAAGCAAGTATTAAGACCTGTTCTCAATCTCAACATTGAGACCCCAATCCAACACCCTCGCCTTAGTCATCTTTCCTCTACAAGACCCGCATCGGTTCTCAGAGAACATTCCCACCATCCAGCTGGACCCCAGACGTAGGGGCGACGTTATTCTTGACATCCCGCTTTATCTCGAATGCCAACCACCCAAATGGCGAAATAACCTGACCGATTGGGTGATTCCACAACTACAGCTCCGAAGTTCGCTAACCCGCGGCACAGGCATCCAAAACGACGAGTTCAAGTTAAAGAGACATCAAGAATACCATCGCACCTACAATCTACGATCCGGTTCTACAACCACCACCTCTTCTCCCCCGTCCTTCCTAACTTCCACTTCCTAACCAATCTCACAAACAGTATCAAGGTGGTGTAATGTCCCCCCTACCCCCCAACCAACCCTCTTACCTCCCCCACCCACCTCTCCCATTTCCTCTCATTCTCTTCCCTCTCCCCCCTCCACTCCCTCACCCTCTCCCCCATCCCAAGATCCCCCCTCATATGCTCCCCCTTAGGGATCCCATCCCAAAACCCGCACCCCCATCCCCACCATCACAACCGCCAACCAAGCCTACCTCCAAACTTACCCAGTCCCAATCCCTCCTCTCACCTCCCTCACCACCTTGGCATGCCTCCAAACATCCACATTACCAGTCAAAACCCAAAACCCTTGATACACCGCCCCATTCCCTTTGCACCATCTCCTCGTTTCAATATCCCAGTTGTACATGCCCGCTGTAAACCTGTTTTGTATCAGACTTACTCTTGGGAGAGAAGAGTTCAGGTCGAGAAACTCGTCAAAGATATCGAGGAAATCCGGGGGAACGTTGGAGTAGCCTAGGTGGCGGATTTGATTGGGGAGGTAAGAAGTGAGATGGGTCCAGGCGGTGATGTTTTCAGGGAGGGTTTCAAAAGGGGAGTGGAGGATTAAGGCGTCGAGGTAGGGGGGTTGGTGATCCGGGGTGGAGAGGTTGGATAGGGAGGAGGCTATCGAGGTTGTGAGGGAGGTTGTGAGCGGGTTGGTGGAGGTGTAGTGGGTGGAGGGGGAGGGGGTGTATTTGGTTTGTATCTATGAGTGGTTAGTTTGGTTGCTTAAAGAGGGTGGGGGGAATGGTGGGATGATTGGGGTAGAGGATAGGGGATAGGTTGGGTGGTGGGATGAGGAGGATAGGGGATGATGGTGGATGATGGTGGATGATGATGGATGATGGTGGATGATGGTGGATGATGGTGGAATGATGGTGGAATGATGGTTGTAGGAGATGGGTGGTCGACTAATGGGCCAGCAGGGGGATAAGGGCACAAGTCAAGGGGTGAGGTGGAATTACCCAGAGATCATTCCTGCTGACGATGCCTTCAGATATCGCCCTTCGAATACCCTCGCCGACGAGGGCCTCGTCGTAATGCCGTTTCATGGCCGCTGTATCGATTCCCCGGAAGCCGGCTTTGATTGCTTCATAGACGAGGTCGGCGGTGCGGTCTTTTTTCCAGGCTGTGCCGTAGATGAGGGATGGCATTTTGGGGAGGGATGGGGGCGGTTCTGAGGTGGACATGGTGGCCAGGGTTCTTGGGTGACGGTGAATGGGAAAGCTATGAAGTGGCGGGACGAAACGGTTGGGTGTCAGAAGGGTTGGTGGTTTGAGGCTTGAAAATGATGATTTTGTCGGAAACATGTCTTTTTCACTGTGTGTCTTTGAATGGGAAGTTGTGAAGATCTCAGGACGGGAAGGTACAACTCAATTGATTGGTCAAAGCTGAGTGGTGAGGGGAAGCTGTTGACAGGTTTATATCGAGCTTTTCGAGATAAATTTTTGACAAGACAGTGTCCATACGCTTTCGACCTATAGCTTCCCTTTCCATATCGATTTCTTCAACTTCATCGTCCGCAAAAAAAATGTTCTGTTGAATAAGTCAAGAATGACGTCGTCTAGGCTTTTGATGCACCTTCGCCAATCGGGAGCCGGGAGCTTTCTGTCCGCCATGTCTGCTGGGATCATCCTGGGCACGGGAATGGGCGGAATTCAATTGGCTAAAGAAGCTGTGGTGGATCCCTACCCACCTGGGAGAGCTTCCTCAGTGCGGGACAGGTGCCGCAGTTTTGGGTGCGTGTTTCGGCGATTTACCCGTCAGCGCCGTCGCTGCCCCGCCATGAGGATGGAGGGGAAGATGGCGCGAGGTTGGACACGCCGGCTACGGGCTTTGCTTCAAAAGGACTTCAAGCCAGCGTGGTTTCTTTTCTCTTTGTCGTCTGTGTCTGTATTCACTTGTCAAAGCTTCATTGGCATCACCAGCGCACCATGTCGTCTCCGTATACTGTGAGGTGGGGTATTCTGGCCACCGGCTGGATTGCTGAGAGTGAGTGCCTGCTGCCCCTTTTAATTTTGAACCTTGGTAAACGGCATGACTAAAACGCTCTTCTAGCCTTCACCAAGGATCTCCTCACTAACCCAGCTTCCCGTGATGTCCATGATGTGCGCCATCAGGTCGTTGCCGTGTCCTCGTCCAGCTCCAAGGAGAAAGCTGCCGAGTTCATCAAGAAGGTGGATGCTCCCAGCTCAGCAAAGGCCTATGGTTCTTACCATGAGCTGGTAGCTGACCCCGATGTCGATATCATCTATGTTGCTACACCACACAGCCACCACTTCCAAAACGCCATGCTTGCCCTCGATGCTGGCAAGAATGTGCTCTGCGAGAAGTCCTTGACTGTGACTGCTGCCCAGACCCGCAAGCTCATCGAGACTGCTCGCTCCAAGAACCTCTTCTTCATGGAGGCTGTGTGGACTCGCTACTTCCCCCTGAGCATCAAGGTCAGGGAGTTGATCACATCCGGTGCCATCGGCAACGTGTACCGTACTATTGGTTAGTTTGGTCCTACCAATTGTTTAGAAGAATGCCGTACTGACTTCCCATGCAGCCGACCTCTCTGTTGGCCGTGATGCCCCCGAGGGCAAGATTGACTTCCCCGATGAGAACCGCATGGTCAACGCCGACTTGGCCGGCGGTGCTCTCTTGGATCTTGGCATTTACGCCTTGACTTGGGTCTTCCAGTCTCTGTACCACACCCAGCCTGAAGCAGAGAAGGAAGCGCCCAATGTCATCGCTGCCGTCAACAAGTACCACACTGGTGCTGATGAGACCACCAGCATCATCCTCCAGTTCCCCAAGCACAAGAGCCACGGTATCGCTCTGACCTCTCTTCGGGTGGCCTCTGAACCTGACAACAAGGACACCGCCGGTGCCTCCATCCGCATCCAGGGCGGCCTTGGTGAAATTCAGGTCGTTGGGCCTGCCTACCGCCCACGTCAGCTGAGAGTCATCACCAAGGAGAGCGATGGCAAGGCCGAGGTCATTGACTTTGCCATCCCCAAGGACAAGGAGCGTAACTGGGGCCACGGCATGTTCTGGGAAGCTGACGAGGCCGCCCGCTGCCTGCGTGACGGGCAGAAGGAGAGCAAGACTCTGCCATGGAGCGAGAGCATTGTCATCATGGAGGTCATGGACGAAACCCTGAAGCAGGGCGGTGTGACATACCCCGAGTTGATTTCGACTGACGTCTTTGACCCCCAAAGTCCTCTCAACACTGGAAAGAGGTAAAACCCCAAGAAAGAGATTGGGGGTTGGGCTGGTATCTCTGCTTTGTGCCTGAACTCACAGCCTTGCTGCTGGCGCATTCTGGCGTCGGGCAGGCTTGTGGTAGGTCGTACGGAAAGCTGTTGGGACTAGAGACTCGGCATTAGGTCTTTGTCATTCACCCCACGACGCGAGGCTATGATGCCCAAGGATGGCATACAGAAAAGGGATGGGGGGACGCGGGATTTGGGCTCGGAAAATTTAGCCCGAGCCTAGCGCAGCTGGGTTTGGTTTATCTACCAACGAGAGGTCTGTGTAGTCCAAATGTACCTTTTACCAATTCACCCCTTGCCGTCTTTTTTCTGTGAAATATCGGTCAGGTCGTCAAGAAGGGTCATCGGGGCCATGACGATCGCCAAGGCCATAAATTGGGCCCATAACCCTGGTTTTCGGGTTAGGGTATTGTGCCGTGTTAGGTACGAATGGACGCTTCGTCACCGCAAGTGCTGTTGCATCATCCACAACGGCACGACTGGCTGGTGATGAAGAACTTGTATGACGGAGATGCAGATCTGAGACATATTTGTAGACTCTAGTCCATGTATGGTATGTTCTTTGGGAAAGGGGAGCTGTTGCCCGATAGCATCAATGCTCAGCCGATAACCGATAACAGCCCCACCAAGGTAAGGCCCATGTTCCCTCCCCTCTCTCTTCGGTGTCCCCAACCTTAACCCAACCACCAACCAAACATATCACCCACACACACACACACACGACCACACACAGGGGACCAGCTCCGAACCACGGCTACACCGTCCCGACTTGGGGAATCCGCATGTGCGCAAAGCTGCATAACGCGACCGAGTAATTGACCGTCCAACAAGGTGTGTGTCATCTCTCCGTCTTCTCCATCTCCATCTCTGAGTTGGTTTCCGTTCTTGTCAGGTTCTTCACCGTTCATGTTCTTCAGCCCTGTGTAGGCCTTGTTGTACACCTCTGCTAAGTAGGTACGTGTACAAGCCATCTCACAGTTCGTTCCTTGTCCTGCCCCGGTCGTGCAGCTATACCCCTCCAGTTGGCAGCAATGTCGTAGCTGGTTCCTTCGCCCTCAGCCTAGGACTGCACCGAGTGTCGGTCGGTCGCCAATGGCGTCTGTCTTGGCCCTGTTCGTCCCTGTCGCTTCTGCATCTTCAAATGCCTTGGGTTTACTGCAATCTGCACTGCATCCATGCCGCCACATCACGATCCCCCTCCCCAGGTCCCGCTACCTTGCCCGCTGACCCCCCCGGAACAGGCGGTCAAGGATATCAATCGCTGGGCCAAGAGCCGCGACAAGAATCGAAAAAAGCTTTTCCATCTCCCTAGGGCTGTGGTGTGTGTGAAAAATCTCTGCGGCCTGACCTGACTGAGAAGCAGGACACTCGGTCAGCGTGCCGCGCGAAGCCCGAGTTGGGCCCAGGACCAACGAGATCAACAAGTCTCACCTTGTTGTTGCCCGATCCAGCACTATTCCAAAGTCTCTCGGTGTAACCCGAACCCATGATGGCTTCGACACATACCCCCTCAGCCCTGCCGTCTGACTCTGTGGCCGGTGACGTCGCCAAGCTGGCCGCCGCCGCCGCCGCTTCTCAGGCAGCAGAATCGGCAGAAGCAGAGGCCTACGAAAAGACGCATGTTCACGGTGTGTATGAAGCCATCGCCCCGCACTTTTCGGCGACACGCTACAAGCCCTGGCCTGCCGTGGCATCGTTTCTGCAGTCGCGGCCTCCGGGAGCGGTGGGTCTCGATGTTGGCTGTGGCAATGGCAAGTACCTGGGCCTAAACCCATCCGTGTACATGGTCGGCTCGGATCGTAGTGCTTCGCTTGTTGCGCTTGCCCACAGCCGTGGGAGGCAGCTCCAGGAACAGCAGGCCCAGGAGGCGAAGAAGCGGATCGCTCAAGGTGAGCTGGACGCAACAACAGGAACAGGCGGGGAGTCGAGTGGAGCTGCCATCGCCACAGAGGTGCTTGTAGCTGATGGACTCTCACTCCCCTTCCGCGAACGCGCTGCGGATTTCGTCATCTGTATCGCCGTTATCCACCACATGTCGACAAGAACAAGGCGTCAAGAGGCGATCCGTCACCTCCTGCGATGTGTCAGGACCGGACAGGCTGGCCAGCCCGGTGGTCAAATCTTGGTGTACGTATGGGCTCTCGAACAGGGCAACAGCCGGCGCGGATGGGACGAAGGGGGTGAGCAAGATCTGCTAGTGCCCTGGGTGCTCAAGAGTCAGCAAAAACAGCCCAAGCGACTGAAACAACGCAAAGGACAGAAACGGACTCGGGACCAAGATTCCAGTGGTGTTGCTGCCAGTAATAATAGCGGTGAGGCTCCACCATCTGAGGCTACTGCCGGTGCAACTACTGCGGCCACGGAACCAGACCCGGGCCACACCGACCCCGTCTTCAAGCGCTATTATCATCTCTACCGCAAAGGTGAGCTGGAGGAGGATGTATTGGCTGCCGGGGGCGCAGTCATCACCAGCGGTTACGAAAGAGACAACTGGTGGGTGGTGGCTGCCAATGAGCCCCTCCCGTCACAGTCAACATGAGGCGAAAGCTGAAGAAAATATATGATGTTGAACCAAACAAGACACCGAAACGGAGTCCGGGTCCGTTGGTTGGGTGATCTATCGCTCGCTAATGCGGTCCTCCCTCCGTCTTTGGGGGTACGTGTGTGTTTGGTGATTTTCTTTTTCAAGTGAAACGTTTGCTTGGTTTGTTCCCGTTGGCTGTTGGATGAGTGTTGGAGACCAGTCGCAACGATGACTCCGTTTCGGATGAACGGTGGTTTGCCTCTCGGGTTCGTATCATTGATCTCTTCCAGCTTTGTTGAGCACACTACGGAGGGGAACTCTCCAATAATGGTGCCATACTCAGCCTTGCTGGGTATATCTCGATGATTCATACCTGATGATTTGCTCTAGTTGTGGGCTATCTCCAGCTTTGTTGAGCATCAGATAGTCTTGCCGAGAGAATGGTGAGAAACGATCACCAGAGATCAGACACCCCTGGCAAGCTAGACCCCTTTGGATACCGCTGTTATGTGATGGATCGATCTATTATGTGTTGTTCGAGGCTTCTAGAAAGGTTGGTTCGCATCTTGCATAGTTGCTACATTTTGATGGTTGGGGCGGGGGAGGGTAGGTAGGTCTGTCACACTGAAAAAAAAAAAAAAAGATCTCCAGCCTAAAGTCCGATATGTTGGGGTTGGCCGCCGTAACCGCCGCCCCTTTGTGATTCTGTGTGTGTGCTTTGTGGTTTGCCAATCCACCCCCTTTTTGTCATACCTGAATAACATACATACACTCCAAAACTTTTGGTCCAAGAATTAATTATCCACAACCAACAAAAAGCTCAAAATTCTAACCCAATGATATCTCGTGGTGTGGAGAGAGGAAACATCTCTTCTCCGGAGAAGTTTTCTCTGTACCAAGCAGCAGCAGCAAGCAGTAATGATATGTCCCACCACCCATCTCTCTTTCAACGCCTTGTTTTGTTTTTGTAGAACAATTAGATCCCGGCCCCATGTGGCAAAGTGAAAAGGCTGTCTCGAGATGCAGAAAAACAAATTGTTCAAAATAGAAGAGTGTAAAACATGAATCGAAAAAAAAACCCCCAAAAAAACTATAATTACAAAATGCCGTGCCCTTTGAACAAAACAAGAATAAAAATAAAGGGTCGTTACTTGTCAATCAAGAAGTATGTAGTGGGTAGGTGCTTAAAATGAAGAAAGAAAGAAAAGAGAAATATGTGTCCAACGAATGTGCGTGTGTCATCCCATCGCTTCCTCTCTCTCTGCCTTGATGCAAAATATTCCCCCCACCCCGTTTCCGTGCCATGTCCCTTTTCATCCATTTCTTCGTGGTAGGCCATCCATCCATCCATCCATCCATCCATCCAGCCACCCGCCCGTCCCTTCGTTCTGAAAAGTTGTAAAAGAAATTTCGAAATTACAGATTGCCTCCCAGGTCGTTACTGTTTGTTCCGCCGGGTTTTCTTTTTTTCCCCTCTCCCATGTGTGTTTGTGTTGCTAATATTGTGGTGTATGTCATTGTAAGTGTGCTATGCCGGGAATGTTTGTTGGCATGAGTGGTGAAGTGTTGTGAGTGTATGTAATGCTCGAGTAAAGTTAGGAAAAGGAATAATTGTAGTCGTAACAAGCTGTGGTGTGTTTGTTTGGTGATTGATTTGCCGTAGCAAGTGGTTATTCGAAAATCCCCTGCGGTGTGTGGTGGTGTTTATCTGGAGAAAGGGAGCACAACAACAGGGAAACCTCTCACCAGTCCAGTCCCCACCCCCCCATGTTATGGCTCATACCTCGGCCGTCTAGCCGCCACCTGCCCGAGTCCCATCGGTGGCGGAGGCGGAGGCGGAAGAAGCGGGTAATCCCCATCCTCAGACCGCGGGTACATGTGTCGTCGCCTGCTAGTCTCCCTGCTTACATCAGGACTAGCCCTCCGCTTCGACCCAGACGACGATTCCAAATGCGTATACCCATACGACGACGACGAGCTGTACCCCAAAGGCGGGAGCAAAGGAACCGGACTAGCAGTGGCGCTGTGGATAGGACTCGCACTAGGAGCTCCCACCGAGTACGCCGGAGTGCTGTACGGGCTAACTCCCGTCGTCAGTTCCGCCACACTGGGCAGCACGCCTCCGCGTCCTTGACCTGGGCCAAGACTCGTCGTCTGAATCGGCGCGAGCCCCCCAAACGGAGGACCCGGTGGTGGAGGCGGTTGTCCGTAGCCGTAGTCAAGGGGCTCAGGGGCGATGCCGGAAGAGGATCTCGGCGGGAGGCTCTCGCGTCGTACGGCTAGGGGCCGGCCGGTCGCCATCGGGGGTGGGATCAAGGGTGGTGGGACGGGCCCGGGGCCCCGTTGGTGTTGGTGGTGGTATCGTGGAGACGGAATGGTGGGGAGGCTTCCCTGGGACTGCGAGTGGCCGTGTCCTCTCGTGGGGGAAATTCGGTGATGGCCGTGGGAACCTTGCGAGTCGTTCGGAGTCATGTTCAGCGTGAATGGAACCACGCCTGCCCGCCTTGCCATTTCATTCTCACCTAGCTGCCAGTGCATCGCCTCGGCGGCGCGCCAGGGGACCTGCATCTCCTCTGCCACTTTTGCCCACATCTCGGGTTTGAATCTGCCAAGCTTTTGTCAGTCTTGTTCGTCCGAAACGCAGCCAAAAAAAAGGGGGGGGACATTGTTACCTCTCGTACAGCCTTGCGAGCTTGTTCTTGCGCTCTTCGTCCCACTCGCTCCGCCTTTCCAGATAGTTTTGATAGTGAAGACGACAACTGATGGAGCTCCGTCCTGGAAGCCGCTTCGATATGTCGTCCCATTTCATCCCACTGCCCCGGAGCTCTATGATGAGAGCATCCTCTTCCGGAGACCACTTGCTTTGTTTCTTCGCCGGCGACTCGGAGGTGTGAGGCGGCATGCTGCGTTTATTACTTCCACTGGGCGGGCGTGATGCTGAAGCTGGCACCGAAGTGGCAGTCGGCTGAGAGTATCCAGGTATCGTAGATGCCCCGAAGCCCCCAAATCCGGTGCCGCCGACGAAGCCAAATTGCGAAGACACTGTGACGGGTGCTACAGCAAAGGAGGCCAGAGGAGGAGGATCACCTGGGGACGTTGTTGCCGGCGAAAATGTTGCAGTCGAAGTCGGATGAGCCTGCTGGGTAGGCGATGCAGTGGACTCATTTGAGTCGGAGCCTTTGATTAATGACGCGATATCCACGGTGACGGTGTCTCGCCGGTCTTTGCCTATAGGGGCAGCAAGTTCATAAATGGCCAGGGCTGAAGACGGGGGAAACGCGTTTTCCGCCTTGTCCAACGCCACCAACAGGAACCGGTTGTTGCTCTCGAGTTGCAGTGAAGCCAAAGGTGCCGAGAGCTCTACAATAGAAGCTTCGTTCCTTCGACTGCTTAGCAGGGGATCGCTGGTCAGTACGTCCGGGCAAGAAGAAGGTCACTCCACCGTAGCTGTTCTTCTACGGAGGTCAGTGAACCGTTTGGCGCGGAGACTAGGACCGGGAGACCAGGACGGGTTTCGCAAATGTTGTTGTCGGCCGAAGTGAGCTAGGTTGGGATATGTGATGGACGCGATTCCGAGTTTTGTAAGCCGTGAAGTTCGGGAGACAGCGCGTGTTTAAAGGGGGTAGATTGGTAGCCGAGCGAGAAAGAGACCCCCTTTCGAGACTGGTTGTTATAATAGTAGCTTTTAGACAACGGTGGTGGCTCGTGTGCTGATGGCAGACATCAAAACATGATTGGGTAGGTTCCTGAGCATGCGTTCGCCAATAAATGAGCATGTGCCGAGCTCGATGAGGTAGGTGAGCAGTGGTAAGGTCAGACGGGGGTGCTAGACGACTGCTTGAGAAGAGAGAAGGCCTTTTCCATAGTCACCGAGCATAGAGCAGGGGAGAGGCTGTATCCAGGTCCGGGAAGATGCGCCTCTGCAGATGGGTAGCCAGGATGAGAAGGGGAAAGAAAAACTTCTTGATGACGGTGTCTAAGGAGAGTGACAGGATGCGGGGGATGGGGTCAGGGTTCAGGGGGGCATATGAGGGTAAACTAATACACTGAGGACGAGTAGGCCTTCATGGTTGGGATTCCATGAAAAGAACAACGGTGATAGCCATACCGGAAGTGTACAGACAGGCTGCCTGTCGTGTTGAAGGAGATGGATGGATGGATGGCAACCAGGGCCAAGGTCCAAGGGCAAGGGAGGGGGTGCAGATGGAGGGGGGCGTGTGTGCAAAGTGGGTCGGCCAGGGAAACAGACAGAACAAGGGATGCGGGCAAGGTCAGGGCTCCAGGGCTCGGATGCCGTGGGTGGTGAGTGATAACCTGAGCCACAAGTCAGGGTCCGTACCCCAGAATGCCAAACGCCTGACTTGTGCGGTAGAGATGGCTCTGTCAGATACGGGTAACCTCTGGAAGTAACCCCCGGGGGCTTCGGGACGGACCTCATCGACTTCGGTTGGGTTTGGGGTAGCTCCAACGCTCCCAACACACAGCTACAATATCAAGAGCCCGGGACCAAGAACCGGTTTGCCATGCTCGGGCGCTTGATCCAGCTGGAAAGAGGGCTAAGGCGAAATGTCAAAGTCCAATCCCCGTTCACGCTTGGACTGATGAGAAGAGGTACCCAACAGGTACTAGCTGTCCTGGGTCCAACTGTTTGGTGGCCAAGTGAAAAGTCAATGAGACGGCCAATCGACATACTCCCAGACCACGCCCCTTGGCAGGAGAAATGGCAACACACCCCTCCCCAATCAAAAGAGCCCCAATTGACCTTTTTTCTTCTTTGGTTGCTGAGGGGTTGCTCCATCCAAGAACGGAATGGCAAAAAGAAAAAGAGAAAAAAAAGAAAAGAAATGCAAAACCGACCTGTTGTAGGGACGTCGAAGAAGATCAGTGCTAACGCCGAACATGTCGACTATGCGAGATACCGCCCCCACTAGGGCAAACGACATGGGTTGACCACGACTTCGTGCATGACAGACACGCTCTATTCTTCAGGCTGGCTGGTCTGGCTAACAGCGCTTACTTCGACTAAATGCCATGTTTAATGGCGCAGAACGTTCTTATTGTGCATCAAAGTTGGGGGCATACCGCGAAGAAGAAAGTCTATGATGGGGGGGCGGTGTACGTGAGTGGTCGGGTTGCAAAGTCGGGAAAGAAGGGTCAGTCATCAAGGTTAGTTGGGCTCTCAAGCGGCATTGTTTCCTGAGTGACTTTTAACCCCCATCCCAGGTACTACTTCACCATGGCATGGTTCGGGGCAGGCGGAACTTGACTTGCGGCAGAAGAAAGAGAGACGTGTGCAAGCAAGCAGGTAGGGTGAGGCGTCAGCCAAAAGTTGCCGCTGCACCTGCATCTGTCCAGCAGCAACGACAGCCCAGCCGGGCATAAACAGGCAGTACCTGTTTCGACCACAAACGATGGGGGTGGAGATGAACGGAAACGCTTGCCATGGGAGGAGAAAAAACGCATAGGACATGGGTTCAAATGGGTTGGTCTTGAAACTGTCCATGGTGGTATGGGGCGGGAGGCGGATTGGATTTGCAAGAGGCGACGGCCACCAGCAACCAGTGGTCCATGCCCCATCTTGATGCTCACCTCCTTGTTCTGAAAGGAGGTTTGATGGTTTACCGTCATGCTGCCCCCGTCCAAAGCTTGGACACTGCCAGCATCGAGAGTTTAGTCCAGGGCCCAATGCGGAAGAAGGCCCCAGGCTGGATGGGATCAACCCATCTGGCATCTGCATTGCCGAGACCTCGGACCTAACTGTTGAACAACTGCGCAGTGCGACGAAGGGGAGCGTGATCGATCCTAAACGGGCGCTAGAGGTGTGAAGTAAGTCGCAGATGGGAGGAGCGGCACGAGAGGCTCGCTTCGATCCGCCCTTGACCCAGAAACGACGGCCGCCGGCTCGCCAACCTTGGCTCCGGGTTATTACTTTGCAGTCACGGTGATATAAGCCGCCGGGCCAGCTCCGGTCATCATCATTCTTCTTGGATGTTCTTCAGGCTCTAGCTATTTTGGAGCCTCTGTGCGCATAAGAACAGACGCTGCGCGAGACGAAGAGAGTGCGTCTGTTCTCCTGTCAGATCCAGGGAAACCCCTGGCTTCAATGCGATGCGACATGGATGTGCGATTCGGACGCTGGAGCATTGCTTGCATGGGTTGCGGGAGCATGAGCCCCTACCTAAGACGGCGACGTCGACTGAACTTGGACAGAACCGTCGCAACAGGCTCAGAGGCGCGACAGTCAGGAACCCTGTCAGTTCTCTGGACACAAGAGATCCAGAGATCCAGAGATCGATCCGGCGTGTGAGCAGTTGCTGTTGAACCTTGTAACCCTGGTTTCTCAAAGAGCCTGGGGCGGGTAATAGCGACTCGATGCATTGTCTGTGCGTTCCGGATCCTGTCCCTGGTAAGCCCACATCACACAATCTTGCTGTAAGATCAACGACAGCGTTTGGCGGGGCAGGCTACCGGACAAGTTGTGACAATACATTTGTCAATGCCATGAGTGTACTGGAGAAGCGCTCCATACTCTCCAGCAAACAGCTCTGAGATGGCAGTCCCACGAATTGGCGGTCAGCTCTTGTGTTCTGTACCTCTGGACAGATACAGGTCTCTGCTCTCAAGTTCCGCTTCATCCCTCCCCCCACACCGTCCGGGATCAGGGTTCCTGCGGGGCAACAGTGCCGGCAGGACAGCCGCCCCAAGACGATCAATGAATCGTTCCGTTTTGGGTTTGTGCCTAGGATCATGAATTTCCCGGTGTGGTGTCGCTTCCTCTCGGCTGGCTATTGTGGCTCACCCTGCCCATGAACCATGATCTGCCACCCAACAATAGCCATTATGCTGCTCCTTGTAATGCTTTTGTCGGCCATGCTCGGTTACAGGCTGACTGTTCGTGCTGCTTGTTTCTTTCGACACCAGCGCAGGTCCTGGAGCCCAATATCAAGACAAGAAAGATGCCATTGGAGCTGATCCCACTTGGCTCAGCCACAGCCATGTGCTACCCACGCTGCCATTTCGCCTCGCATTGTCCTGTAGACCCGACATGACTCTGGCCCAAACGGCTTGCCAAGACTGGTCCAGAACCTCACTTGTAAGTCGTGGCCAGCTTGGAACTGCGCTTTTGCACATGCCGCTCAGCGATTCAGGGACTCAAATACACGAATTTCCATGACCACATGGCCAACTGCAGAGCGGGAGTGGGGTGGGAAAGCCAAGGCCACCGTGATTCAGCAGTCCAGGTCAAGGTGAGCAAGACAAACATGGAACGAAGCAGATCATCGTCGGCTCGTTTCGTTGTTGCTGCCCGAACAAAGCAGCGAAGACGCTCCCAAGCTCGGCCGTTTGTTGGTGCTCGAATCAACCAGCGCGCTGTTCCTAATGCCCTTGAAGATCGGTGCCGAAAAAAGAAGCTATTTTACGCCTACGCCACGGTGACCGACTTGTTGAAGTCGATGCTCTCAGCTGCCGGCCGTTTCGCCAGCTGCGACTATCAAACAGCAATCGCCAAGGTCAAGTGAGATGAACTGCATGTAGTATGTCGTCGATTTGGTGAGAAACTGGGCCTATGGGAGCTTGTCGGTCCATGTCGGCTTCGTTAGCTCGTTAGCTCTGTTTCCTCCATGTGCTCTAGCCATGATTATTAGACACAGCACGTATGTAAAGGCACCCGGATTCGGCAGGGCGCCGATGCCATCCTAGGTTGAGAAACACGATCCTTGTGCTTCTCAGCTGCACTGGGTGGTGAATTCGTTGGCCTTGCATAATGGCCTGGCCCTGTTATTGCGCCTAGAATACTGACCAGATGCGGACGTGATGTGTAGGCGGTACCTAGGGAAGTGCTGGCGGCTGGTTTAATCGGACGAGCACCCCGTACAGCTGGCCACTGTTCTGCAGCGTAAAGATGCGGCTCGACCGCCCCTCCCGGCACACAAGACAATTTGACTCTTGGCGACGTCATTCTCCCGTAGAGAACAAGGCTACAACTGTAGGCTGATCCATACGGAATATGGTGAGCAGTTCTGAACGTAGTATCGTGTATTCGAGCTGTGCTGTACATACCTCAAGGTCACATCTCTTTTCTGATCATAGCAACCGCGCCCAGCCAGGGTGCCAGACGCCCGGTCAAAAGGTTGACGGGCTTCCCGTGGTCCATGCCGCGGGTAAAAAACAATTTTTTAGACAAGAGATGCAAAGATGTGACCATCTACCCAAGGTGGCGGTGAACGACACAAGAACAGATCTTGGGTAGCAAGCATGCATATCATCTGTCGCCCAACAAGTGTCTCAAAACCTTGTCCCTGCCATCCTGACCGCACTGAATACAACATCGTGAGCAATGCGACGCCATGTCGAGTGAAAATCCCCTCGATTCTGCGACAAACGCATTTAGTGTCGACTATGCAGATGAGCTTCACCAGCGGTCAGTTGCATTGCCTCCAGAGGCTAGGAAGGAGGCGCAACTGGTGCAGGGGTTTCGTTTCTGTGAGAGACGGTGAATTGTATCTGTGTGGTATCTGTGAGTGAATCCTGCTGTTTTTTGCAGATTGTGTTCAGATCGCCTCGGGTAGATGCCGCACACGCAGCAGCCTCATCAGGTGCCGCAGCATGAGTTGGACTGGCGAATCAGCCAAAAGAGGGAATCGGCAGGACACAAGAATGACTTGTCAGTACTGCAGTGAACCATCAAGATGTTTCACCTCTTGTCCAGGCCAGCCGTTTGCACAGAATGCGGAGGAACAGGCCGGTATACGGTACACGTACACCAGGCAGGTCGGTCTTCGGGATCGGGCGTCGACATGGAATTGTTTGTGAAGCCCGTGAGCCTGTCGGGAACGTGGACGAGTCTCCAGCAGCATTGCGCTTTAGGGCATTCAGGGCAGCTGGCCGAGAACCGGTTCGACCAATGGCGAACTCGGTGGGCGTTTGACCTCAGCTTCCCGCGAAATCTCATGTTTGACTGCATCGAATGCTGCCGTGTTCTGGGGCTGGTGTTCCCAATGACACGGTTCCTCGCTGGCGGGCTTGCAAACGGGCGTGAACCAATGGCGACGAGGGAATGAATAGGACAATTGATGCCCGGGTCGCCTTGTGAGGTTTTGTTCCCGCCTCGCGAGCTCTTTCGCTGTCAAGGGTGATATCGGCTGTCGGATAATTTGGAACATTGGAAGCTTTATCGAATTCGATTCCCATGTGCGGACAAAAGAAAGCTGAGACCTTGGGCTTGGAGTCTTGATTCGATGAGAAGGAGACGGGAAGACAAGACAATGGAAGATGGAGGTGGCTCAGCTGGGCTTGGGTGGGTGGAAGTTGAAGAGTGTGGCTAGTGACCGCACTACCGGAATGTGGCTTTCCTTAGCGCTGTGCAACATTGGTTCGTGTTGCCAAGACGCCAGGCTGGGTCTCCCATGCTTGATCAACCAGCGACTTCAACTGCTTCCTTTTCAGCTTACATGAGCATCAGAGAGAGATCTAGACAACTCTCGGATCTCGATATCCTCAAAGATAAGCCTTTTTGAAGCGATTCACGGTTCCAGGCCTGGATAGACTCGCTTTCTGGTAACATTTTGCATACATCTCAGCTCCCCTCTCTGGTTGATCTCTCTTAACTGACCACTCTCTGGCAGCCATCCACATACCCCCCAACTTTCTCCATTACAAACCCACGTGCACGGCTTCCACATTCGACGGGCTTCTGTCTGCCACGGCACCACACCGCACCTTCACCACGTTTTGAACCGTCAGCTCTCTTGCTTCTGTTCCTGGTGAAGCGAGCGAAAAGCAACGAATAGGGAACCTCACGTCTGCTTCGCAACCACCACCCACCATGGCTGACGTCCCGCTCTATGTCGTATCCGACTACTCGTCTTCGGAAAGACGGATCACCCCCTCATGGTCTATCGCTCAGCTCAAGACCAAGTTGGAGCCCATCACCGGCATTCCTCCTTCCTGCCAGCACATCTTCCTCAAGACCTCGTCCAACGATGGGATTCCGATCGAGGCTTCGGACGAGGAGGCGGTCTATCTGCAAAGCTTTCCGCTAGCGCCATATGCTGAATTGCAAGTAAGTGAAACAAACCCGATCCGTCCCTGTGCCCCTGAATCTATTCGGCCGGGGAACTTTGGTGTGCAGGCGCCATCAAAGTGCAAGTAAACAAGGTGGCGCTGCCATCATCCTGTTGGCACATGGGCAAGGCAGGCCATCGGGCCCTGAGACATGGAGCACGACGTGCCGCCTCACGCCAAATGCTATTCAAGTGACGCGTGGCGGCCGGCTTCTAGTGGTGCTCGCGAATCGTCCTATGATGCTGCCTTCTCCTTCCGGGGTCGGTGAGAGCCACCACGTAGGGGATGTACGTCGAAGGTGCATCGTGCCCTGGTCTCCAGCCGCTCCAGGGGCAGGTGTGTGTGTGTGTTCAGGGCTAGCTCGGAAGCCATTGGGCGCTCTCCTGCCCCCCCAGCTAGTTTCTTGCTGGCCATATGTCGGTCCGAGGAATCCCTCGAGATGCAAGCTTTTGAAACCCGCAGACTAACAGCGCTTGGCAGGTTGTTGATACGCGGCCAGCGTCTGCCAGGCCCAATTTCACAAGCGCCGTAGGCGTCGAGAAATTCGAGCTACCTGAAGAGGAGTACGAGAAGAAGACGGACTCGGTCCTCGCATGGAAGAAGGCTCAGAAGCTCGGGCGATTCGACCCGAACGCCCCGACCCATGAGCAGGCCAAGATCGACGCCATCGCCAAAGAGATTGGGGCCCGAGGAATCGCGGTGGGGAAGCGGTGCAGAGTTGGTGGTGACGATACGAGACGCGGGGAGGTCAAGTACGTGGGGGATGTCAAGGAGATTCCGGGTATTGGTGCCTGGGTGGGCGTCCAACTGGACGAGCCGGTTGGCAAGAATGACGGCAGCGTGGGAGGTACGCGCTACTGGGGCGAAGAGTCGGAGCTTAAGCGTGGCGTGTTTGTGAGAGCAGAGCGGGTGGAGGTCGGGGACTTTCCTGTTCTGGATGACCTAGAGGACATGGAGGAGATCTGAAGTCCATCACCACACCAACATATGCGTACCAATGGAAACCTTGACGCCGTCACCATCTTCTGCTGCCCTTGAGGCTTGATTGGCTCTCATCTCGCGCCCAACACCATCTGCCTAGTTGGCTAGTCGCAGAGGCCCGTCCCGATGGGTTAGTGGACTGCACTCTTCCCCAGGTTCCTGAACAGCTGCGCGAAGCCGCGGCAAGATGGTGTCCCAGTCATCCTCCAGTGACCCCGTCTTGCTCACAAGCGCTAGCACTCCCTGATGCACTTCCCGTTATTTTGTTGGCACCGAAAAAGCCGCCAGCTTGTAAGCAGGTGGCTGGCCCTTGAAGCCGACCTCGAGACTGCCGTTTCCCAAGCTTCTGCGCCATTGCCGTGTTACCAACATGTGGGTAGTCACCCAGACTTACAGTATGACTGCCTAACGGTCTCTACTTTAGCTCACCGGGCTTGCAAAACTAAGTGAGATTTTCCGCCGAGCAAATATCTCGTCCAAACAAGCTCCAGAAAGATGCCATCAAGATATACCATCACCAGCTCAGGAAAAGGGGCTCAGGGGCAATCAGGCACTGGAAACCTCGAAACGACAAATGCGACAAAGGGAGGATATGTCTACTCAGGTATCGAATTTGCATTTAACCGCATCTCTCACTGCGAGGTATGGTGCAAGGGGTTGATGGGCCCTGTAACGCCTGATGTTCGAACTCCATGCAGGGCAAGACGTTTACCCCTGAGTGCAACGCTGCCGTTAACAGACCATCTGCAGCAACCCTCTCAAATTACCACAAAATATCCATTTTGCGTCTTCGCCATTTTTGATGCAAATAACTCTTCATCACTGGATATTTTATCTCTCGAAACATCAGCTTTTCTCTCCAATCTTGTCTTGCCAAATATCCTTTTTGTTGACAAGTCGGCATTTGATTAGTGGTAGCGCTGTCAGCAAAAACACCAAGCGTTGTTTAGCATCTGAGACTCGGAACGTCGATCACAGAGACAGGATCTCAAGGAGCAAAAAGCTTCCGAGCCAGCCAAAACATCTACGAGTCCAAACAAAAGTGTTTTCTTTCGGATCACTTCCGAAGTAATCGTCGTTGGATCAGCTTCGCTTTTGTATGCTGCGTGCAAAAAATAGATCCAGTTTACCTACGGCTTTGAGGCTCCACCGAACAGCGCATTCTCTAGTTCAAGTCGACTCCAACAATATACACCATCAACAGTCATCGATGGTAACATACTGACTCTAGATCATAGTTGCATCAAAATCATCGAGTTTTGAAGATAGAGCAACAAACATCGTCCAATTGCATAAACGAACAACCCTGGCCGTCAATGAGGCACGGCCGTTAGGTGGCACTAGGCAGCTTGCAGCTGCTTTAAACTGAACGGGCACTAAAACATATCCAAAACGCCCCCTTTGTAGATGCATCACACACATCTTGCACACACCAGCTGCTGGTGTCATATTGTCGGCGTCCTTGTCGCGCACGACCTTAATTGCGCCTTTGAATGGCAGCTTAGCCTGGGCAGATGCCATCATGGCCAATGCAGTTCCCGTTTCTGCCCGGCTACTGCGGTACCCGTCTTGTTGCCGTCGTGAGCTGCAAGGGAGCAGTACTCATCTACCAACCTCAACCCCTCACCACACACCCAGCATATGTTTTTCTCCGACGATCAGGAATAGACCAGCCAAAGCCATGGTGAGATGCTGAGATCCCCAGAACGCGGAGAGCCGGCCCTTTTCCAACCCACCACCCCCACCTGCCGCGTCTCCCCTCCGTTCCCTTTTCATCAGAGTTGCTCCGGCCCTTCCGCGCGTGTGGCCGATTCGAAATCGTCATCGCCGTCATTCAAGCCCATCACATCTTCCAGTCTGGCTTGGAGCGACGTCGACCGTTGCCGGCCGTTGGATCTGGAATAATGATGGCTTCAATACGGACTCTCCTCCTCGCCTCCCTCTCGTTGGCAACCGTCAGCGCTCAGGATGCAAGGATATCTTGGATCGAAAATGCCCCGGCGTGGCAGGAAGAATCACTGATGCATCTCCAAATCAGCCCACCCGAGAGCTCGATTCTGCAGCTGACATTTGATGTCTACCCGTTGACCCGCGCGGTCGGGTTGAACGAGAGCACAGAAGTCAGAGACGTGAGCGCGCCAGATACAGTGGTAACCTGAAAGTGCTCTTGTGCTAACGTTGCACAGGACTATCGAATCCAAGGCTTTTAACCCTACGCCGATGATCTCGAAGCCATGAACAACCAGTCGATTGCCCTGGTCAGCTGCGACTCCAACAGCTCGACGAGCCTCGTGGGCGAGCTCATCACGACTGCCAAGCCGAGGGCGATATTGCTTTACAGCATCAAGGGGAACTGCTGCGCGCTGCAGGGTTCCTATCAGGGCTTGGAAGGGACGCCTTACGATACATTGTTCACCATGGCGAACCAGGAGGAATCCATTGCTGCCATGAACAGCACACGCTTGGCCGGGGCGTCGGCTGCTGCCACCATCACTGGCGGCATCACTGCTGCCGGCCCAGAAACGAGTGCCCAAGTACCGCACAATGGGAACAATTCGGCGGTGGCGATGAGCATCCTGTATAGCATCACAGGTCTCATCACGCTCCTCTTTCTCGTTATCATTGCGACGGGCGCTATCAGGGCACATCGATATCCGGAACGATATGGGCCGCGATCGGGTTACGGCGGAAGGCCCCGACAAAGTAGGGCAAAGGGGCTGGCGCGCGCGGTGTTGGAGACGCTTCCCATTGTCAAGTTTGGGGATCCGGCACCGGCAAAACCTGATCCAGCCCTCGAGCTCGAGTCCCAAACATCTCGATCATCATCCGAGCCGGGGATAGGGACCAGATTATCAGCCATCCCAGAGGAGCCCAAGACGCCCAGGACACCCAAAACACCCAAAACACCCAAAACGCCAGCAAAGCGGCAAAATGAAGGTCTGGGGACAGTCTTGGAGTCTGAAGATGACGACCAGCCAGCCGTAAACCCAACAATTGCTGCCCCCAAAGACGCCAATGGTGGCGAGAATGGGACCAAGGACGGCAAGCGGATATCAGAGGAGCACCTCGGATGCTCAATCTGCACCGAGGACTTTCTTGTGGGGGAGGACGTACGAGTGCTACCTTGTGACCACCAATTTCACCCGCCGTGTATCGACCCGTGGTTGATCAACGTATCCGGGACTTGTCCACTGTGGTAAGCGTACTGCTCAATTCGTTTTATTTACCAAACACTAACCTCCACAGCCGTCTCGACCTCCGACCCCACGACGAGCAAAACCCAGAAGACCCCCATCACCTCGCACCACCCTTGGCCGGCGAATGGAATGAGAATAACGCTCAAACGACACAGCAACAACGCCGGAAATCACTACGGTTCCTCGACCTGCACCGCCTCCGGCACGCCTCGGTTGAGGAACGGATTGAAATCTTGAGAAGACACCGATCACAGCAGCAGTTGAGAGAGTCTCAACCACCGCAGTCGTCTTCGTCGGGGTCGACGACGGCAGATTCGGAGGAGCATCACAGCCGACGGGCGAGCTTGGCGGATAGGCTGAGGGATAAGTTTAGGGTTCATACCACCACGAGGCAGGATGGTGGTGATGGGGAGATGACAAGGACGACGACGACGACGACGACAACAACGGCAAGGGAGGCTGGACCACCACCGGCCTCGACATAACTACGACAACACACACGACAGGAGCAACATTCTCCACTTATAATGACCGGAGCTTAATGGCAAAAGAATGACATAATTCGCCGAGTATACGACAGGACGGATAATAAGTAATGTTTTGGATAACTATGGGAGACTCTTTGATAGAGAACACCAACAAGGCAAACGCGATGGGGGTTTAATATTCTTTTTTTAGCGACAATCTTGGGAATACCACGGGCATTTTGGGACAGGAAAGGGGCCGGTATCTGGACAAAACTCAAATTGGTCAGGAGGACAAGGACAGGACTGGATCGGTTAGACAATTTGGCGTTCTTTTGCGTGATGGTTTTGCGGTGATATCATTGCATTTGGCGTTTTTTTTCTTTTTCTTTTTTTTTCTTTTTTTTTTTTTGGTTTCATGAAGGGGGAGGATTTGGGACTGAAGAATGATATAGTTGGCCAATATGAAATGTTTGGAAGGAAACAGGAATGAACATGAACATGGATGAAGTCGACGCAGGGGCAGAAGAACGAATTCGAAGGGAAGAGACTACCGGCTGAGATGGCAGCAGCCGGCCAACTCCCAAGAAATATAGTGCGATCTGATAGATGAGAATAAGTTTTGCGTTTTCGAGTGCGGAAAGTAGCTGAGAAAGAAATATAATGGTTACCAGACAAAACTATACTAGGCAAAACATGATCAGATGTGTCTTGATACAAAAGGCATCCAGTCTTTCTCATCAGCCGTTTCACGTGTTGATTATTATCTTTTTTTATTCTCAAGAAACGACCCCCGACAGAAGAAGCCCATCAGTCGTGTGACCTGCCCTTTTTGAGCAGGGCTTGTTTTCGAGATATTTATGGAAGGTCTGGCAAGTTTGTGAGACTTGGGTTGTTGATGGGGTTATGCAAGGGACAGGGGCCATGTATCTTATTGTTCTCCTCTATTTAACAAGGGCATTTGTCGATAGGAATGACCGAGGCCGTTGAATTCGACCTGAGAATAATAAGGTGAGTGAGGGTGAAGCTGGGAGTGGATTATGTAAGGCGTCACTTTCCGAACTCCGAAGACAAGGGAGCACGGGCCCCTGGATTGATCGCCGCAGGGATTGGTTGGTTAGCACTTTGGCCAGGTCGAGGTGGGAACCGGGGTTGAGAGGGGGACGCTAGGCTTGTTTGGGACTTACACAGGTATTCAACCCTTACGACCCTGTTGGGAGTGAGGTGTTGAAGGGTGAGATGATGTAGCAGTTCCTGTTTGAGCTCATTCTCAAACAAACCTGACTGAGCGATGCTCAGGTTAACTCATGATCATTATGTCGCAGGGCTAGTCGAGGTGTCTGCATGAACTTTGGACTGAAGGCCAACAACTGTTGTGAGGCGTGAAGTTCATGAGCTAACAATGCTGCCCAACGAACGGTTCGAGTCCAGCTCGCCGGTTTGTGGACTGATGCTTATGTGAGGCTTAACATGAAACTACATTAGCGTGGGCTTCTAGACTTGTTCAAACGGTTCAGAAGCGGGGGAAACGTCGAGTGTTGACGCCCCTTGTATGGCACACCATTGGAGTTAGCTTCTGTAGTTTGTTTGAGCGGCATATGACCTGTCAACTAATTCGAGGACGGCGCTGGAAAGCATTCTCCTATCTCTGAGATTGATTGAATTTTTGCTGAGCTTTTGAAGGCTGAGAATCTCGGGCCAAATTGTCTCTCTTTTACGGATCTGGACAAGTAGGGAGGAGCACTGGAGTGATACGAGCCATCGGCCGCCGGCCAGGCTAGCCCTCTTGTTACCGTTGCACGGCAGTCTGGCTTTTGCTTTGATATGGAAGGCGAAGCAGGGAGTTTCCTTGAGAGAGCCGCGATCGTTGGGTTGTGAAAGGTAAGCCCCGTCGTCGGAGGGTCGGGTTGAGATCGGGCATGTCTTGAACGGGAGGAAGAGGTAAGAAGGGGTAAATACGGCCGATGAGGTCGACTGAGAAGACAACAGAAGGAACATGAAATATGGTGGGAAAGAGCCACCCATTATCAACAAATTATCAGTGCCATGCTCCACTCTGAGCAAGTCATCTCTCCCTCTACAACATTCTCTTCAATATTGGGCCAAGCTCGGGACCGATGCGGTGGCACTTTCTATACATACATGATCCCCTGCAGCAAGCATGCATTCCCACATCCAAACAGGATCATGTTCGCTGACAGCACGAAATCGTCCGCGGCCTTGGTGAGTTGAACACTTGTGAATGGTCCAAGCTAGGGCTACACCAGATCTCGTCGGAATTGCTTCTGTTGCCACCTGCCATTTATAACCATGTCACTCCGATCTGTAATTTTTTTTGAGCTCCGAAAAGCGTGGATTCATTGTTCTGATGCATCTCATTGTTTCTCAGGCCAGGTCAACACGGGCAGATGCCGGCTTACCAACACTAGATGGCTGAAAGCAACGGTTGTACTGCAGCACCAGTGGCGCATCAGCTCTTGTTCTTTTTCCAGGGTTGTTTCTTCTTCTCACGATGCTCTGGGCACTGCCTGAGTGTCTTGGATCAGACCTACCTTACCGAGACAAGCACTCCAGCACCTGAGCTGAGAAACACCCAAGACGCTGTTTCCGACCCGTGGGTTCTGATGAACAGCAAGGGGGCCCCCATCGATTCAGTCGGGATTGTTCTTTCCCCCCCCCCCCTTCCCTCTTACCGTTCCTATTTTACAGTCGGTTCTTCCGCCTTGCCACGATGTGGCGGCCACTTTCCAGGAAAGGAACTCCCACGAGCTATTCGTCATGGCAGCGCGCAAACGTTAGCATTTTCACCTCACACCTGGGTCTTGGCTGTCTCTCTATTCTAACTGTTCAGCTACCCTTCTCCCCAGCTGATATCTCTCATCTTGCCCCTATTATCCTAGCAACTCACCTATACACGATTACCGTTTCGCGCATAGATGGGTAGATATCAGCCCCTCTCGTCTTGGCTCACCTAGCTACCTACCTTCTCGATCTACCCAATATCCAACCACCTTTTATTTTACTACGAGAACACGACCTTGCTTTGATGGATTGTCACAACCGCCAAAATTCCTGGCGACGAAACAATGGCTCCCCCGATATGGCTCGTCTTGCGAGGCATCAAGGAAGGGAGCGAGACCTCGTCCTCGGCGGCGGCGGAGAGAAGGAACCCTTCGTACAGCGAGCCGTTGGTTGGCATGGTCATAAGTGTCATCCTGGCCATGGTCTCGCTAGTTATTATCTCCTCGTTTCTGAGTATGTCCCTTCTTTTTCTGCCGAGCTGTCTTTGCTGACGGATTGACAGCCCAAAGGTATCTGGCGGTTAAGCTCTGGAGCAGACTCCCTTTTGTTCAATACTGTAGGTGGCCTTCCGTATGTCATCGTGGTGGCGGAGGAGCAGGATCACCGGCTAACGGGAAACAGTGGTGTTCGCTATCTATGCTGATTCCTTTCTGTTTGTGTTTGCTACTGGCATACTCCAGTTTGGTTTTGGTGTGGGATACTCGGTATCAGTGTGCGAATCAGCCATTCTATTGTGTCTGGCTTGCTATGTAACGACAAAGGTATGCTATTCGGCGGGCTCGTAAGGCTCTCTCGACGAGTGTGCTAATCCTGAATGAGTAGATTGTATGTGCTTGGCTCAGCTCATGTCTTGTATATTTGCTGACAGGACCTAGCTTATCTACATGTTTCTGGTCGAAAAAGCCGTAAGACACTGCGGTCGCCATTGACGATTTCCCACTGACACGAGATAGTTCATCATACGATCAGGCTCCAAGAGAAGGCGCATGACGTCGAAGCTCTATCTGTTCAACTCGTTCGGCATGATCGGTATGTTCTCGGAGGCCTTGACCGTGTTTATGGGAGCGGTCACTGACAACAGGGAACCCCAGGGGTTTATTGCGTTGTTGTCGTTATGAACTTCATCTAGTATTGCACCCCCTGTTGTCGATCTCAGCTTCCACGGCTAACCGACATCTCCAGTCGCATCACGAGGGTGGAAAACGGCCAATGCATAATAGGCATGAGGAAGGAAGCCATGATCCCTCTGATAAGCTTCGATCTGCTCGTCAATGTGAGCCCGTTCAGTTCTTCTCTGTTTCCCGTTTGGATCCAAGGCTCGAACAGTTGCTAACAGTTCAATCATCAGATATATCTTACCTTGGTATTCTTAATACCATTATCCAGTACACCGCTCTTCCTTCTCTCTGGTTCATTTCCGCCTTACTGACCTGGAATCATAGGAACGTACACGTGGAAGAACTTTGTCCACACACCTGGCAGTCGACGTCTCCGAACCGTGGCCATGAGAACTTTTGTGGGTTGTGTCTGCACATTGACCAGCAGCGTGGTGTAGGTTTCCCTTCACGCACTGACGGCAGTGACCTCTAACAAGTGCCACAGGAACCTATCCGTGCTTATGGCTCTCGATGGCGAGCCAGGCTGGGTGTGCCTGATGTGTTGTAATAGTGATATCCTCTTCAGTGCAATTGTCATCCAATGGGTCACCTCCCGCGACAGCACTAGCTCGGCGGCCTCTACTGATTCTGTCAGCGGAGGAGCATCTCGACCACGAAGTCAGCACAACAACCACACTAGTCACGGGGGAGAGGAGTTGGCCGGTCTCGACAACAGCCATCACCGCTGCAACGTTAACAACCGGCAGAAGGATTCTCTCGAGGGGGATAAGAAACAACAAGCGAGAAACAAGTCGCTGAACAGAAAAGGCCTCGTGTCATCCACCGATGCCATCGTTGCAGACGCTGCCGAGATGTCGATCAACCACGCCGAGTTTGGAGGGGATGGGGATGTCTCGCCGCGAAGTACAGAGGTCAACACGGTGTGTTATGATGATGGTAGGGACAAGGAAACCAACAGGAGGCCGTACACGAGCGGTTCGCTGACCAGAACGACGACAACCACGACGACGAACAACCCGCACGACGACGATGGCGCTGCTGCTGGAAGGTTTCCCCGTCTGCCGCCGGCGCTGGCAACATCAACCGTCCGGCACCACACCTCAGAAGTTAGAGTCGACGTTGATTACGGCGCGACGAGTCTGAGTAGCCGCGAGATTGCCGATGGGGAAGAGGCTAGGTTGGGGAACAGCATTGTGATTGGGTCTGGGACGAGCGTGTGCGGTGTGACGGATGTCACTGGGGGCGGGAGGTGGACAAAACAACCGCCGGCTTGGAGTCCGGGAACGGGGCCGGGGCTTTAGTGGGGTTCGAACTGGAGTTGTGGTGAACACCGGGATCAGTGCCAAAGGAGAAGCACGGTGAGCTATCCGATCCTTGGGGTGTTGAGGGAACATGTCGTTGAGGGAAGGGGGTGGAGGGATTGGAGGAGAAGGACTGCTGAGGAGGAGGGGTCGGAGAAGGAGAAGAGGGGTGAGAAGTGCGGGAAGAGTTGGGGTTGAGAGGAGAAGAAGAAGAAGAAGAAGAAGAAGAAGAACAGGTGGGCGGGTAGGTAAGCAAAAGAGGAGTTTTTGCTTTGGTGTGTTTCACTTGTTTCGCACCCTAGGACTCAGGTTGGTTTGGATACCTTTTTGTTTGGGGGTTGATTTTTCGATGGTAGGATACATGACCTACTTGCATAATGAACATTGATTATGGCTCCTCTGGGGACCTGATGCTATGTGGCATGGAAGTCTCGACTGAGTGGCTATGATGAGATACAAAACTGATGGCAGAAAGACTTTGCCTGAGATAAGCGCGCCTGACCGTAGGTAGCCATGGGGGTCGAGTTTCAATTATGATGACAGTGTTCTAACCATCTGAAAAGTCGCAGCCAAGAGGGGAGACAGAAGAAGTGAAGTAAACAAACAACAGTGAGCATAAAAGTCAAAAAGCTCACCGGCCAACCTCTGGTAGGGTGGCCGGTTACGTAAACCCTTCAGGGAGTTTTACCTAGGAATTGAACTCGGGGGCTATCAGCAACTTCCGAGATCCTTTACCATTTGACTTGACCACAAGTGTTGTTGGCATCCTGGTAAGGATTTTGGGAGCTGCTGTTGGGAGGTGGGTTGTGGAGGGGGTGGGGGGGGAGGCGATTATCAAGGTTGCTTGTTCCCTCCTTTTTTGATTGGTGAGGTGGATTGTTGGAAGGCACGCTGTTGGGAAGGTGCAGGTAGGCAATGGGATAAGGAGAAGGAGAGGTAGGTTGAGTAAACAAGTGAAGGGTTGCTCAACAACAGAGGTCTTCTCTTTGTTTGTGGGTTGTGAGTCTTTGTTGTGGTGTGTTATATAAATGGAGAGCCTTTTTTGCAGCATTGTCTGTTGGAAGGGCAGATAAGTAACTGTGATGTGCATGTAGTTTATATATTGGTACCTATTGTTACGCTATCATCCTTGCAGACTCTTCCAAACAACCATCTCTCTCGTAGATTCATTATCTGTTTCTCAGAGTGTTTGACGCAGCATTCCTCTCATACGTGGTATCCTTCCCCAACTACACAGCACGGCAAGGTACACTTAGGTGATGTTTGTATGGCAACCAAAAAGAGAGAAATGCTTTCTGCCGCGTTATGCGACTCTATTTATTTCGTAATGGTATCTGTATCCCCTCCCCTCCCCTTCCTATGTTGCCCAACCCTCCCTTCCTAAAATATACAATCTTTAAATATCCCTCCCTCTTGTTCATGTAGTGGTAATAGTGGTATCCAATCTTTCCCTTGATGTATAAAAAAAACGCCCAAAAAAATTCCAAAATGTTGTATGTGTGTCATGCCCCCCTTCCCTTATGAATTTCGTGGGGTGTTGTTTAAAGTTCATCTTTCTTTTCGTAAAAGCCGTCATCAAGTTCGTTCGTTTCGTTATAGTAAAAAAATCCAAAAAAATAAAAAAAATTATTGTCGTCCCTCCTTCTTCGCCGCAACCATCGCCCTCTCCTTCTCAACCAAAACCCACTGCTCCCGTATCTTTTCCCTCCGACCTTCTAGTCACAAGTCCTTTTCGTGAACCTTCACCCGTCCGTTCAGAGCAGTGCCCTTGGCTCCCACCCTCGACACCAACCTACGACGGGTCGTGGTGAGGCCACCAGCAATCTTGTCAATGACGGCAAGGAAAAGGACCTGGACGAGCCAGATGAGGAACCGGATGACGTAGTCCCAGAGCGAGTACCTCGGCCTTCCCCCCCTGGCGAGGGTGGACTCCTCGAACTCAAAGGGGATGTTCGCGCCGAGGTGCTCGACGGCCACGCGGAGGCCGGAGCTGAAGCCATCTTCGTGGGTGCCTTGTCTCGTCCAGGCTCCCGCATAAGAAATCCCGCGCGTGTTTTGGATCTCGGGGAGGCGTTCCTGGGCCGCGAGGACGGACTTGTTGAAGATTGTGTGCCGGTATGTGTACCTCCCCTGGATGGTCTTCGGGTCCGGCTTGTGCAGCGGGTTGAGGGTGACGAGGACGTCCCCAAAAGCCGCGCGGGGGATTTCCTGGAGGATGTTCATGTTGTATGTGAGGCAGACCTGGTCAATGTGGCCCGAGCCGGTCATGGGGGAGGACCGGGAAAGGTAGTTGAATGATGTCCAGGCTTCGTACCGCTCTGGCATGAGGGAGAGGTCAGAATGCAAAAAGACCTCGTTCGTGGAGGTCTGGAAGGATCGCAGAATGGAATCCTCTGCTTCGGTTGCCGAGTCCCGGATGATGGAGAGGGCTTGGTCGCCGTGGGTGGCGAGGATGACATGGTCGAATACCTCCGACTTGCCGCCGGTTGGATGGAGGGTGTGAAGTCTCAACCTGCCGTCCCGCTCAGGGGTGATGGAGATGACCTTGCTGTTGAGGCGGACGTGGTTGGATGGGAAGCCCTTCATGACGGCGTCGATGTAGGACTTTGAACCGCTGTTGAGGGTGAGCCATTGTGGGTTCTTGGAGGTTGAGGCGAGGAAGTGGTGGTTCCACCTGAGTGAGGTCAGTCAACAAATTCGAGTGATGATGAGTCTCAAGGACACAGCTTACATGAAGCGAATGAGTGTGGCGACGGGGAAGTCGAGTGCGCATTTCTCCGGGCTGGTGTTCCAGAGACTCGCCGTGATGGGGGTGAGATAGTCATCCTTGAACTTGGTTGAGTAGCCCTCCCTCTCGAGGTACTCCCCAATGGTCTCCTCAGTTGGCTTCTCGGCGCGCAAGACGTCCAGTGCAAACTTGTCGAAGCGCCAAATGTCAAAGACCAATCTCCACATTCTAGGTGAGAAGTAGTTGCTTCGCTGGCAGAAGAACGCATCTCTGTTCAGGCTGGCCCACTCGAAGCGCCCTTGGTCTCGTGACACCGAGAAGGACATCTCAGTGGGCGCGGTTTCCACCTTCATCCTCCTAAGAAAGTTCAAAAAGTTCGCTGTCCATGCATTAGCGCGGTTCACTTACAAACGACCCTAAGCAAAAGGAAACAGGGGTGGATGAGGAGCCTCCTTACGGTATGTGGCTTCATTCATGACCATAAACCCAGCATCGACCAAAGTCTTGTACTTTCCCCTCGTGAACTCCACCGTGTTAGCATGACCGCCCAGGCGGTCAGCGGCCTCGAAGATGTACACATCATGAGGGCTCCGGTTCAACGCCCACAGCGCACCGATGCCCGCTACACCACTGCCCACCACGGCCACCTTCTTACGCGGATGGGGGTTCCCTCGTTGAATCATGAGGAAGTAGAGTGCCTGAAACGGCTGAACAAAAGAGGGACGACGAAAGAACGAGGACGATGAAGAAGAAGACTGACGGGGAGCGTCGGTCATGGGGCAGTTACAACCTTGGGGTGAACAAGGGTGGGAACAGAAGAGAATGCTGCAAGCATGGGAAGAGAACGCGAAGAAAGATTCCAAGGAGTGGGGCAACGAGACGTATTAAAAGACTTTGCTGTTTTCTGCCACATGCATATGATGTTGGAGTTGGGGGATTGCTCAAGGGTGGACACACCGCAGTTCCGGGCGTCAAATGGGAGGCCCAGGAGAGGTGTAACATGCATTGGTGCCAGTGTAGCTGGCATCGCCGTGTCCACTCACCCTCGTTCCCGGCCAGGGGGGACACGCGGTTGATCGTCAAAATCTCAAAAGAGAAGCCTGTTTGTTTCAAGGCCTGATCAAGCGCCAGCCCAAAACCATCTTTGTAATGGATGTCTTGGGCAGCCGACCAGGGCTTTTCGAGCTTCGAGAGGCACGACATTTGTGCAGGCACGCATGGCCGGCCAGACCGATCCGATCCGTGTTACAAGGGTCGATTTTGCATCTTTCGGCATGTTCAATTCTTGATGCTCCAGGCCGATAATGCACTTAGCATTCAAGTTTTTTTTCTTTCTTGCTGCTGAAAAGCATGGCAGCGGCAGTGAACAGGGGAAAATTCGAATAGCGGTGGCTGGCAGAATGGATTCTCGTATGTCAGCTCCGAGGTCAACTCAGCTTCGAGGTGGCAGGTATCTGAGTTCAGTCTCAGCTTCAACTCATGTGTCCACTTTGACGACCCTCCAAAGATGACTCCATTCAGGAGTTTTTCCCGTCCCCCTTCATCTCATCCCATGAACAAACAGGGGAAGAAGACACGAGAAAATGGATTTCTCTCTTCCAAACTCGTCAGCGGTTGGCAGTCGCCGTTGAGTTTCATCGCCATCTTGTTATGCAGCAGCCAGGGCGGGCAGTGGGCCAATTGCTATCAACCACAACAGCAGCCCAGCCCCATCAGGCCCTGGCGGTGGATTCGGCCAGCGCAGCAGGTTGCAACACAGCTGATTTTCCGGCACTAGTGTCGGCCTGACATGTGGCGAGGCTGCATTTCCAAGGGAATTGGATTTATATATCAGCCATTAATTGGACGAGGGGTTGGGTATCGAGATGTCTGCAGGCCGTCACATGCTGACCTGCCTTGATTGACAATTTGATGACACTGAACTGACTTGAAGTTGGGTTAGGGTTATGACTCTCACCGCACGCAAAGCCACCTTTGCTCAAGCCACACCTCAGATGAAAAATTCTCTTCGACCGACGATGCAAACCGACAATATCGTCGTTCAACAAAGGACACATTTGACCATGGTCATGGAACCTCCCGAGTATCAAGTCCCGCAAACATCTAATCATCTCACAGCCATCACACAAAATCAGAACACGATTTGAACCAAAAAAAAATGTCGAGGCCTAACGGGATCGCCCACTCATCGCACAGCTTTTACCCTGGGCTAGTAGCAATTCTTGAGACTCCTTCTTCTTCTGCCCGGCTTAAATCAACCCGGTGCACAGCTTCTCCAATCAGAATATGTCTCTCGAAAGAAACAAAATCCCAAAAGGAAAATTCGCACCGGGCCAGAGTTTCTGCGTTTCACCGGGGTCAACTTTCTGAAGAAGAAAAAGAGGAAAACAAGAGATAAAATTTTGGCGCGCGCGAAAACATTTTATACCACCACTGGAATTAGGGTGGGGCAGTGGTTGTTGGTCTGTGCGGGATGTTTGGTGGGGCAGAAGGAAGGGGTGAGGGTTGGGGTTTGTGATGGCTTTAAGATTGACTTCGAACCATCTGGTGATGTTTTCGAATAAAAGATGCGGCGACAACAGGAAGTTGGCAACCGGAGTCATGTGTAACTCGCAGGCATACTTTGTGCTACGAGCACACATGCTCATATTCATGGCCAGCTCACGTTCTTAAGTTACGGACCCGCTGTTCCAGTTCTCGACAACATGACATAGGAACGAAAAGGGATCTGACTTTGTAATTGCAAGGTGGGAATTACAAATGTCTTGACGGAGAGATAGGTTCTTCATCATAAAGATATGGCCATGATCAACATGGAAGCATCATGACGTGTGGTGTACAATGCCGGTGGTTCGTCATACTACTGGTTGGATATGATAGAAGGACGTGGTGATGGTCTCAACCTAGATGACCCTATTGTAACACTTTTGTATAAAGTCACCTCCATTCACAAACGCATCACATCCCATAAGTTCCACCACAAGGTATTTATATTTTTGTTTTTTTTTATTTCTCTCATTAAGGTATAAACGGTGTGAAGCATCCAGAGAAAAATACGAGCCAGTCATATCAACAACAACGACCAGAAAAAAGAAGTACTAGGGGGGGGGGGGGTTGTAAAAAATAAAATAAAAAGAAACATGAAAAGAAAAAAAAAAAAAAGTCTACATCAGAAGCGTTGGTATCTCCCCTATCCTTCAACTTCGCCTTATTCATTGTCATAAACGCACTCGCCAAAAACACCTTGCCACCCTTTTCCATGTGATTCTCCCCCAGAAAATATACAATGGGGTATCATCTCATCCTGGGGCCAATAAAAAAAAGCAAATGCCTTTTTTATTCTTCATGACGCAGCAAAGAAAATATCAAAGAGTCTTCTTGATTTAAGCCCTGAACTTCTTGGCAGGGGCGGCAGGGGCGGCGCCGACCATGGCCATGGGGACGGCACCACCGTAGCCGCCGAAGGAATCCCTCCCTTGGACGGCAACGTTGGGGAAGCCACCGAAGCTGCACTGGACGACGCAAGAGCAAGAGCCGTCGGCACCGATCTTGCCGACGCCGGGGACGAGGCCAGTGTTGGCAGCAGGGGGAGCAGTCTCAGTGCCGGCGGGGGGAGCAGCAGGAGGAGCGTTCGGGTCGGGAGCGGGAGCGTTGCCGGTGATGGCACCGCCGGCACCGTTACCCTTCTGCTGGATGGCGAGGGACTGGAACATGGCGTGGGTCTTCTCGGCGGTGGGGTTGATGGAGAAAACCATGCCCTTTCCGCAGTGGTTGCCCTGGCGGCAGTAGAACCCTTTATCTCGGTGTTAGAATAGGCTTTCCAGACAGATACTGGGGTCAAACTTACAAAGAGGAGTGTCAACCATCACTTGCATAGCGACCTGGGGAGGGGGGTTGACGGTGTTGTTGGCGTTGGCCTGGAAACCAGAGTCCATACCACCGTCAAGAGGGTCGCAAGGAGTGTCGAAGGCAGACTGAGTGGCAGTGTGGTTTTGGCTGAGGAAGGTGAAGATGACGGTATCGCCAACGGAAGCCTTGAGCTCCTGGGGGCTGAAGGCAAGACCTTGAGGGCCACCGACGGTGACGCTGTGAGTAGCACCGCCGGCACCAACAACGGCATCGGGAGGGGGCTGCTCGACGGGGGTGCCGGGCTCGCCGGTGACGACGGCGGGAGGAGGGGTGGCCTCGTGCTTGACGGTCTCGGTGACGGTTACGGTCGAGGCCTGTCCAACAACAGTGGTAGGGGCACCACCACCAATGTTGACCCAGAGGAAGTTGATGTTGCCGTGGCTGGGCTTGTGGACACCGATGAGGCGGGTGAGCTCAGCGAGCTGCTCGTCGGAAATCTTGACGCTCTCGTGACCCTTTTGCAAATGTCCATCTCTCTTCGCGGGAGCAACGTTGTGAACCGACTTCGCCAAGGCAAGGGGGGCCATGCCCAAGATCGCTGTTGTAGAGAACTTCATTTTGTCTTCTTTTCTGTTTCCCTTTTTCTCGTTCTGATTAAGTTTCGATGTTGTGTATATCGTAGATAACTCTGGATGCTGAAGCGAGTCCCTGCTCGTATAGAAGTGAAGATGGAGGAAAGATCAAAGAAGGAACTGTGGATCAACCAAAAGAGCGGAACACACACAAGAGAAAAACAATGGTGGAATAATGAGAGAGAGAGGGTGAGGAGAAAAAAAGAGAGGGAAACAAGACTTCTTGAAGGACGGCCGGCCACATGGGACGGGCTCTTGTACCAAGCATGCTGGAGATCGAAAACGACATGCGCTTTGCTGTGATTTCCCCCTTTTCCGCCAGTGCACCCCCAAGGACGCGGGCCAAGATGCTAGGGGCGTTGCGGTCGGTCTCGAAACTTGTCGGGAGGGCATCACCGTGACAGCTGCTCCCTGTCTCGCTCCCTGCCCATTGCTTTCGGCGTGCTGGGCGCCCGCGCAGAGCGGCATCCGTTGCGGAGCGAAGACCCTGGCTGCTGACCCTGGCAGAGGGGATGGTGGGAGCAGGAGGTCGGCTGTGACAAAGCCGTCTCAGAATTGTGTTTGGGGTTTTCGCCAAGGTCGGTTGCACAGACCGCTAAGATGGGATGAAAGAGTGGGGCATAGCAACCCCCAGCATCCCGAGAGGGGACTTCCTCCTGGCAACGGGGACGAAGACAGAGACAGGATAAGCGCTGTCAGCAAAAGATCCCGACGAAGAGCGAAGACGTTCGATAGGCGGGCCTCGAACTGCTATTTTGGCCCGTCAGTCAGACTGCGCGGCTTCAACAAGCCAGGCGGCTACTTCATCATCTCTCTGATCTTCTTAGCATCATGCGGCCGTGACAGCAGACCCGGCCAATGCGCTTAAACAACGAGTGGGTTGAAGCCCCGGAAGCGGCGGGGTCGCAAGACGACAGCCGCCCGGCATCTTGAATGTCCACCGCGGGAATTGACGCTGGGGGCCAGCAGGAAGGCCCAGTGGCTAGCCATAGGAACGTTTCGGGTTCGAGATGTTTCCTGCTGAGCACTGGCTCCTTGTTGTATATAGTAGGCGATCCCACAACTGCCAAGCAGTCGATACGCAATCCAAATTACTCACTGAGAGCTGTGTTCGAAGCCAGGAACGATATTGGGCGCTCGTGGGAGTTTGCCATTACGATTAGGCGCTGTAGGGATGGGGACTGAGAACGCCACAACGGTCCGTCATGGAAACCCCCATCTGAAAGAGGCAGCATGGCCTTCAAGGCGGCGAAAGGCCCGTCCAGCACCTGCGTCATGGAACATTCCGTCTTCTTTTGTTGGCAAAATCGTCGAATCATACCGTAGCATGTCTGTCAGCGCAACTCAAATTCCCTTTCTTAACCATATCGAGTTGGTGAGGTCTGTCCCGTCGGACCAAATCCTATCGAGATCTCATGTCTTGGCAGGGCGTCAACCGGGGGCCAGCATATCGGGATATTTTTGCAGGCCTTGTTCTTCCCCCATTGACGACCATCCAACTTCAACTCGAGAATTGAGGCAGCCAACGGATGCAACGTGAGTGAAAAAAAGAGTTGAATCAATATCGACATTCCCTGCATGAAACGAACCAAACAAATAGATTCGAGCTCGGCGCATTCATCAAAGACACGGCCGTCTCTTGCATCCGTTGCTACGTGGGCAGACTGTGGGGGACAAGACCGGATGACGGGGAATTGAAAGCCGGACACGGAGGGTGGTGAGGTTCATCTCCCGTCCCTCTTTTGCATCCCATGTCGAGGGGGACAGAAGTTGCTGGGCGAGGAAAAGAGGCTGTATTTGTGACACTGCCATGGCGGCGCTCAGACATGGAAGTCGCGGAGCCGTGGTAGAAAGTGAGGTTTCTGGAACGCTTCTTGTCGCAGGTTGGCGTTTGGACGTTGATCAGGGTTGGAAAAGCTGCAGTGCAGAGTCGCAGCCTTGCAGACTGGGGTCTGAAGCGAGCGCCGAGTCCAGAACATGACCCCCCAGTTTTGAAAACCGTCCGAAGACGCTAACAACACCGGCAGTCAACCATGCCTAAAGCCGTTAGTGCAGGGTCGCATGCGCCGTCACCTTCCTGGCCAGCACCTGGCTCGGGCCTTCTTCCTTCATTTTAACATTTGTTTCCCAATGGTACCCTACCTCCTCAGAAAGCTCGTTGATGATAAACACCTGTAGACGATGAGGTAATATGTTGTCTATTCCTATCAAGAACTTTTGTCTTGCTGCTGGGCCTGTTTGAGCCCTTGCTGCTTTCCCTCGTACAAGCCCGTGTAATACCCTGAAACATCAGCACATGTGGTCCATCTCGAAGAAAAGAAACAGAGAGAAACCTTACCTGCATAATACCAAGACATCAGCAGCTTTTTGAGCTCCTCATCTTGGACTGTATCTCCGGGTTAACATTCGTATCGAGCTTGGATACAACATGACAGAAAAAGCATGTAGAGCGTACCTGATCCAAGCAACACCTGCGGTCCTGGTCCTGGCCCCAACGGCACCGCAGGCTGGCCTCCAGATAGCCCACCTCCAACCTGTAAGCCGTGATTCAATGTTAATCAATCTGAGAACTAGAAGGGCAAGGAAGAGGAACTGTTTCATGCCAAGCTTTTGAGGGATCTCCAGAGATCCTCCATCCTGGGGAGATCACAGCCTGCATTTTGGGTGTTTGATCCGCGTACCTTGTTCGCATCTGCGGAGTGTTGGGCATCCGAGGTTGCTGGGTGCGATGTTTCGTCGCTCTCGTCCATTGGGATGCTCTCGTCGACCTCCCCTTCCTCTGCTGTGATAGGTGCTGCATGGCCATTTGTTTCAGCTTTGGCACTGCCGGATGTCCTAAACTAGAGTCAGTAAAGGAGCCGCTACCCAACGTCACGGTTCTTGGTTTTGTCCTGAAGGGTTTGTAGAAATGCGAGAAACATACTTCTTCTCCTCGGGGGCTGGAAGATCGTCTACTGTGCCTCCTTGGGCGTGAATGCTGTGATATTTCTGTGCTTTACCGTCAATAAGAAACACCAGAAAATCGAGGACGGAGGGGTGCTCGCATTGTACTCTGCCAGCGCGTTGTTCCAGGAAACTACAAGTGCAGAGTCATCCCAGATCTCTTCGTGTGTGAAATTTCGTTCGGATGCCATGTCGGATTATGAGGTGGTTTGTGGGCTGTGGAGAGAACTGAGGTGGTCGCGTGAGTGGTGAAGTGTGGTGTTGAGTGCCGAAGTGGGAACCTTGGAGGGGACCAAGGATGAAATCGCTCGCTCACAATAGGCCCGCTCTTTCCCCCAAACACAACAGCTCCCAAGTCAAATGGTTTGTCTCAAAACACCATGCCAAAATTTTCCCATAAACTCGAAAACTACAGTTGTTATCTACCTATTCAAAAATCTTTGGCTGCCCGGTCGAAGAAACTGCGGACTCGAAAGCACCATCACTCAGGTGGCCCGTGCTGCATGACTGCCATTCTCTCCGAGCTCCAACTTCAATCAGAATAAGTCTCACTTACTACCTATTTAGTTCCCACTTCTGACATTCGTTTTCCTGAAACAACACACCAACAATGCCGGGGCATTTCAACAATGGCACTTCTTTCTTCCCTCTTGAATGACCGACACTTTTGCCTAGGGCATAACCCTTTTCATCAACGAGGCCAGCTTGGATATCAAGGTGCTTCCGAGGCCACGATGCGTCGCCTGTCTTTGAGATTCAACGAGTACAAAAGGCGCCAACTCTTTAGTAGGTTTGAGACAAAGACCTTCTGACTGGTTTCCATCCTTTTGGGAACCCTTTTGAGAAGTTGAAGAAGTCGCGCGCAGCCCCAGCTGCTTTCCTTTCCTAAAGAAGTACGCTGGATCCGAGCCCCAGGGACCTACAGCTCTTGTTGCACCTGTTGCATTGTAGCCTTTGGCAGAGCAGGCTCTCTTCACTCGTTTGGCGCTTGCGTTTTCTAGGTGTGTCCACCATTTGGGTGTGTATGCAGGCCTCGCCTCATACGCTTTGCGTAGCAAGGGAAGAAACTGTACATCGCCGGCACAGTAACGAAGTACCGGCGTCGTGAACGGTCGAGTAGAGAAGATGCCTGAGTCGCCTGAAGCCATGCGCTTGCGAATATCCTCCTTCGTTTTTTTCCATTCGATTTGCTCCTGCTGATCAAGTCGTAAATCGTTCTCGACGGCTTTGTCCAAGCCGGTGACGTAGAAACTATTACCTTGGCGGGTGAGATTCTCGAGCAACTGGAGGTCGATAACCCCAGAGATAGCAACATGGTACAGTGATTTCAAAGCATCGGCGTCATTGCGTACGTCCCACAGGTACTTGCGGATGGATGGGTCTTCCAGAATCGACTTCAAGGTCACATTGTCGTCTTTTTTCGACGGAGTGGTGAAGGCTTGGTTTCCCATTGCCTTGACATCGATGATGCGAACTTTCCGATCGGGGGGGACCAGCACGGTGATTAGATCCAAGGTTCCCCCGCGGCCGAGGTTTGTGCCTTCGAGATCGACATAAATGCTAGAGGAAGGGCCAATGGTGGCGAGGAAGTTCCGCAGAGCTTGAACATTGGTGACCAATGAAGGGTTGGGGGTTGTTGAAGGAGATGGTGGTGCCATGGTGGCACCGAGTCAATTGGGTTAGATTAGAGTTGTCAAGAGATCACAGGAAGATGGCGACGTTGGTGATCTTGCACGGGAGTCGTTTCAGTACATATTATCAAGGATCTATCTTACTATCTTGTTTGCAAATCCCCGTTTGTTCAGCCAGAGACGGGAAATCTTGGAAGCTGTCCGGTTGTCCGTTTGCTAGAGCAGCCATCCGCGGCGACCTGCCAGCCAAGCTGCAGCGCGCCGAATGCCGTCAACATTTCAGCAGGCAGGCTCGAAGCAAACGTTGGAAAGGGGGCAAGAGAAGGGAACCTAGAAGAGAAACTCTGTGGTCGGCACGGGCGGTAAGTAGCCCCTTGCCATGTTTAATACCGGAGCGGATTGAGTACCTCGAAATCTTCTCACCGCAGAATCATTGCATCGGGTGCGGTTGAACTCCGGGAGTCATCAAAGTCGGCACCCCCGGCGAATCCCTGTCCTGCAAACTCCGGTATGCGGCGTTTGGAAGCCCGGACCGGGCGCCGTCACTAAACGTCGTCCGGAATGCCGGATCGGAGCTGAAATGTTCCACACAGCAAAGATCTGGAGCAATCTTTCCCATCTGACCGGCTCTAGCCCCGCATAGCGGCTTCCTACCGTGGCAGTCTAGTCCACAAGATCAGCGGTTCCAGCTCCCAAACAAACTACAAAACCCGCCATTCGCGTGTCACGAGAACAAGCTCGTAGCAACTCAGAAAAGTGGGAGTCTCCACCCAAGCTGCGTGTTCTCCGCCGTCTCTCTTTTTTTTTTGTTTTTTTTTTGTTTGGTCTTGAACAGCCACTTCAGCTCTCATCCGACGGGATCTGAACATGTCTTCGTGCTATAATAAGCCAGAGATAACGACTTGGGTAGATCACCGCTGATCTTTCTCAACCCGTGACACTACACAGGATTTTGATGGAGTTACTGCGAGCTGTTGAGCGAAGGAGGGGGTAACTTGGCTTTGGCCTGATCCCAAAACATCAGACAGGTCTAGGTCCGTCGTACATGTGGGCGGGGTGCTGCATGTTCAAGGTACCGGTTGCTCTAGCGAGGTGTGTTAGCCCACCGATAAACTGTTGAGAATCTAGGACTATTTTGATAGAGACTGAAAGGGGGGTGGATTTGTGGTTTATGGTCTCTTTTCTACGGCTTTGGGTAAGACGGTGCGGGCTGTGGTTGGAGTGGGACCCGAGATTTTACCCCTCCTCCCCCCTCGTCACCGTTCCAGAGCGGGTTGTCCCTTTTAGGTCATCTGGGTAGCTCCGACAACACCAGGGCAACACTGGGTGTGTCGATTGTGAAAAGAGCTTCTTTATAAGCCCGTCCTCTGGTGCGGTTTAGTTTTGGGAGACAGGCTGTTCCTCATCCATCGCTTTTTCACATTCGTTGACTTTCAGCCTCGGTCTCCGAGCAAGGTGTTTTGCTCTTCTACTTCAAATCATCCAGGTCCGGTTTCGGTGTCGTCACTTATAACTGCTGTTTGACTCGGAGTGTTGCTGCTGTTACATACACCTCTTCCAAAATGCAAGTCTGTCCGAACATGTGAAAACCTCGTCAAGTAAACCATGCTAACATGACTCTCAGGTCTGCCCCGGTTAGTTCTAACGGCCCCCCACAGCTCTCAACTCACAGCTCACACATCGAAACAGGACCACTACATCGGCATAGACGTCGGCACCGGCTCCGCCAGAGCCTGCATCATCGACACCACCGGCGACATCAAAGCCCTCGCGTCAGAAAACATCAAGCTCTGGCAGCCGGCCTCCTACGGCGGCACCCACTACGAGCAGTCCACAACCGACATCTGGAACGCAATCTGCCTCTGCGTCCGCTCCGTCCTCGCCATCTCGTCCATCCCCCCCACCTCCATCCGTGGCATCGGCTTCGACGCGACATGCTCCCTCGCCGTCTTCACCCACGACACCGACGCCCCCGTCCCCGTCACCGGCCCTGACTTTACCAACGATGGCAACGACAGGAATGTGATCCTCTGGCTTGACCACCGCCCTTTGGCCGAGGCGGAGGCCATCAACGCTACTGGCCATCCGCTCTTGAAATATGTCGGGGGGAAGATGTCGGTGGAGATGGAGATCCCAAAGGTGTTGTGGCTGAAGAATAACATGCCCGAGGAGCTGTGGGAGAGGTGCAAGTTTTATGACTTGGCGGATGCGCTGACGCATATTGCTACGGGGGAGGAGACTAGGAGCTTCTGTAGCGCCGTGTGCAAGCAGGGGTTTGTGCCGGTGGGGGTGGATGGGAGTGTGAAGGGTTGGCAGCAGGACTTTTTGGAAAATATTGGGCTGGGCGATTTGGTGGAGAATGATTTTAGGAAGATGGGAGGGGTGAATGGGGTAGTGAGTCCTTTTTCTGATTGTTTTGTGAAGTGGTGGAAAAGGGGAATTGATGGCTGACACATTCTGTGATGGCAGAGCGGTAACTTCCTCAGCGCAGGGGAGTTGGTTGGGGGGTTGTGTGAGAAGGCGGCGAAGGAACTGGGACTGCCGGCGGGGATTGCGATTGGGAGCGGTGTTATTGATGCGTATGCTGGGTGGATTGGGACGGTGGGTGCTAAGGTGAAGCTGTCCCGGGACCATCTGGATGAGTCGGCTGCTCCGAATGATGTCTCGCAGGCTTTTACACGACTGGCGTCCGTGGCGGGGACTTCGACTTGTCATTTGGCTATGTCGAGGGAGCCGGTTTTCGTGCCGGGAGTTTGGGGACCGTACAGAGATGTGTTGATTCCTGACTTTTGGATGGCAGAAGGTGGGCAGTCGGCTACCGGGGAGCTGATTAAGCACATGCTGGAAACGCATGCTGCTTATGACGAGACGGTGAAGGAGGCGGAGGCGGCTGGGAAGAATATCTATGATTATTTGAATGACCATCTTCGGCATTTAAAGGAGGAGACAAAGGCGCCTTCGATTTCGTATTTGGGACGACACTTCTTTTTCTACGGAGATCTTTGGGGAAACCGGTCGCCTATTGCAGACCCTAACATGAGGGGGGCGATCATTGGAATGAGCAGTGACAAGAGCAAAGACGGGATGGTGCTGCTTTACTACTCGACCATGGAGTTCATCGCCTTGCAGACACGGCAGATTATCGAGGCCATGAACAAGGCGGGCCACAGCATTCTCAGCATTTTCATGTCAGGGAGTCAGTGTCAAAATGAGATTCTGATGGATCTCATCGCTACGGCTTGCGACATGCCGGTGTTGATTCCCCGATATGTCAATGCTGCTGTGGTCCATGGCGCGGCGATGCTGGGTGCCAAGGCTGCCAGCGCGGACAAGGACGGAAAAACAGAGCCTTTGTGGGATATTATGGACCGGATGAGCAAGCCTGGAAAGGTGGTTTGGTCGAGCGGTGACCCGGCGGAGAAGAAGCTTCTGGATACAAAGTATGAGGTGTTCCTGGATCAGTGCCGGACACAGCAGGAATACAGAAAGAAGATTGATGAAGCTTTGAAGGGGTCGACGTTGGAGGGGGTCAATTAGGGGAGTGGAATAGCGTGTAATTCTGTAGACATCCGTCAATTGTAATTTTCTTAGGTATTTTTACAACATCGTTACAAGTCCAACAAAGAAGGGACCCTTTGTTTACTTTGTGATGTAATATTGCGCTATGAACTGGCGTTGGTGGTGCCTGAACTGAGACGGAAGCTTCCAGGGGAAAGCTGGCAACAGGTGGTCTGTGCTTCCCAAAGAGCTCCAGCAGCACCTTGGCGGCTGGGTGGCTGGACCCACTCATATTTTCGCGCCGGCGTGTTGTCCATCCATTTCAGGTTCAGCCTTGTTTTGTGCAGCAACCGCCAAAGTCGCAAAAAAACAACAGAGCAAAAAGTCGGTGTTTTGCTTTCAACCGACATCAACCATCTGCCATCGCGCAGCTCGGAACGCGTCTTGCTTATCTTCGACATACCGACTGCAAGAAAAATAAGGTTTCGAACCACATAATGTTCAGCAACCTAGGGAAGGGCACGCCCCCGGTGCCGCTCTCGACTGGGAGCTTAGCAGCCGGCACCACAAACCCACCTGCTACAACGGCCGGTGGTTTGGGCTCACTCTTCTCCAAACCAGCTACGCCGACCACGACGACGACCGGCCTGTTCGGCAATCCTAACCCAACCGCTGGAGCTACTTCGACGACACCCCAAAAATCATTGTTTGGCGGTACGACTACCACCACCACATCTACCCCCCTGTTTGGCAGTACCACCACCACTGCTGCCCCGGCTGCCACCACAGCGACGACGGGCGGGGGTATTTTTGGGAACACATTGGGCGGGAGCACCACTCCTCAAACATCCGTTCTCGGCGGTGGCTTTGGCGGTGGCTTTGGCGGTGGTCTAGGAACGACGCAGCAGCAGCAATCGAACCTCGGCGGTAGTCTCGCGAGCATCTTGGGCCCGACAACCCAACAGCCAGCCGGCGGGATGAACACTGGCTTCGGCAACACCCTCGGCGGCGCGAGCGTCTTCCAAAACGCGGCAACGAACCCTCCTAGCCTGACGGGCTCGTTCTTCGACTCGTTGCTCTCGAAAAACAAGAGGCAAGCCAGCGGGGAGACGCCCCAGGGAGACCTCCCTTCCCTGCAGCTCAGTCTTAGTAGCCTGAGGCAGACGGTCAGGAAGCTCGCTCCCAAGGACGGGGAAGGGGGTCGCAATCTTGAGCACGGGAAGGCTCATTACTTTCTTGCTGCGTCGGGGGTTGATCCGGGGGCGGCGGTGAGGGATTTGAGCTCGTTGGGGTTTGCTGCTGCGGCGACGGCGACGACGAGGGACAGGAGTCCTTATTCTGCTGGGGAGGTGGATGTGGAGACGTATCTGGATAATCTGCAGACAAAGACGACGTTGAGCATGATTGCGGATGGGTTGGAGAGGAGCGTGAGGGACTTTGATTTGTTTTTGGAGGACAATGTTACCATGGAGTGGGAAGCGCAGAGGAAGAGGATCTACCAGCATTTTGGGATTAAGCCCAGAGAGGAGCAGGAGGGGGGTATGGGAGATTCGCAGAGGACGGTGAGGGGGGGGACGCCGGCTAAGGAGCAGGGTGCTGGTGGGTTTGGGAGGTCGAGGAGGAAGGGGAGCATGGCGCCTGGCACTCCTGGTGGTGGGGAAAAGTCGATGCGGCAGAGTATGTTTGGGAGGTCGGCCATGAACAAGTCTGTTATTGGAACTCCCAGCCGGATTGGTGCTCATGCCCCCGAGTTCTCGGATGTCGAGGCCAGGAAGGAGAAGAGCGATCTCGAGGGGTTCACTTCTGTGGATGATCGCTTCTTGAGAGAGAAGCAGGGCAAGCTTGCGACCAAGATCAAGGAGTTCAACGACTTGAGGCAGAGAGGCCTTCCAGTCGAGATTTGCAAGGAGCTGGGCGACCTGGAGAACACTGCCGGAGATCGGCATGGGCCGCATCTGGTGGAGGCCTATGATGCCCTGAGGGAGATTGTGGGTGAAAACGACCCTGACAATCTACCTCGGGAACGCCAGTTTGCCAGGTACTACTTGGACCCCAACCCATCGTCTGCCAACTCTATTGAGATGCGCAAGCGGATCTTGAAGGGCGCAAACACCTTCTTGGAGAAACAGTTTTGGGCTGGTGTCAACTCGTTCATCACCAAACATCCCCATGAAGCGAACCTGGGTGGGCAGCCCGACGTCGTCAGCAAGGTCAAGGCTTACATCCGCCTTCGCCTCATTCGCAAGAGCCTGGTTCCAGACAACGTCGACCTTCAGCAAGCGAATGGCGAGTACGTCTGGGCGATCGTTTTCTACCTTCTCCGTGCTGGCTTTGTGAACGACGCCGCCAAGTATGTCAACGATCATGAGAGCTTGTTCCGCAGCATCGACCGAACTTTTATGGGCTACATCAACAGCTATGCCTCCAGCGAAGACCGGAGACTTAAACGGTCGGTTCAGGATCGCTGCACCAACGAGTACAACCAGAGAATTCGCAATGCCCCCGAGGGCTCCATCGACCCCTTCCGCATGGCTTGCTACAAGATCATCGGCCGCTGCGACGTCAACAACCGCAGTCTGGATGGTCTTTCAGGAGACGTCAATGACTGGGTCTGGCTCCAGTTCAACCTTGCTCGGGAGACTGACAGGTCACAGGAGCTTGCCGGGGAGTCTTATGGCCTTGCTGAACTCCAGTCTAGCATCCGGGAGATCGGCCTCAAGCACTTCCCCAAGACTCCTGCGGAGGACACTACTGGCAGCTTTGCCATGTTCTTCTACCTCCAGATTCTGTCGGGCATGTTTGAGAATGCCATTGCCTACCTCTACCCCTTCAGCTACGTCGATGCCGTTCACTTTTCCATTGCGCTCTCTTACTATGGCCTCCTCCGTGCGGCTGATGCTCAGTCTTCTGGCAATGATTTGCTTTCCCACAACACCCGCAACCAGCCTCAGATCAACTTTGGCCGTATGCTCGGGTACTACACACGCGACTTCCGCGCCGCTAATGCCGCCGCCGCGGTTGACTACCTTGTCCTCATCTGCCTGAACGCCGACGAGACCGCCGCCGGTCAGCAACAAGCCGCCCTCTGCCACGAAGCCCTCCGCGAGCTCGTTCTCGAGTCCCGTGAGTTCAGCCGCCTGATCGGGGATATCAAACCCGATGGCTCTCGCATCAAGGGTCTCATCGAGGAGCGCGGCAAGCTTATTGCCCTTGGCCGCCACGACGACTTCATCCGCAACATCACGCAAGAAGCCGCTGCCTTTGCCAACGACAATGGTCGCACCACTGACGCCGTTCTTCTTTATCACCTGGCTCAGGAATACAACCAGGTGGTTGAAATTGTCAGCAGGGCCCTCAGCGAGGCTATTTCTCTCGAGATCGGCGAGGAACCCATGCGTCTTGTGCCTGTCATGGCTAGAGAGGATGGCCAGGAGGAGGCAGCGGGGAGCCTGGCGGCGATTGACGACCCGGTGGAGCTGGCGAAGAAGATGATGAAGATGTATGAGCAGGAGTACATGTACTGGAACAAGATTGGCCATCAGAACCAGTACGCGTGCAATCTCTTGTTGCAGATTAGTGATATCAAGAAGCTTGTGGAGGATCAGGAGTGGGCAAAATGTCTCGATGTAAGTGTCCCTCCCTCTTCGCCCTTTCCTTCCATCCCCAAGGTACTGACTGGTTTGTAAAAAAACAACAGAAAATCGAAGCCCTCAACATTTTGCCGCTTGATGCAAAGGGCGATCAGAGTCTTATCCGCCAGTACTCTGCCTTGTTTGCCCAGCTGCCGCAGACGGTGGCGCAGAACGTGCCGAACCTGCTGATGTGGGCGGTGGTGTGCTGCACCAAGCAGAGGGAGAGGCTGATGTATGGGCAGTTTACGGGGAATGAGACGACGGCGAGGGAGTTGATTGATAATATGAAGCAGACGAGCGTTGACTTGACGGCGTATACGAGCCAGCTGAGGTATCGCTTGCCGAGTTCGCTACATGAGATGTTGGCGAGGGCTTCGGCTGATTAAAGGGGAAGCGGGAATTGGGGGGG